AAAAATGAATCAAAATCTTCATATGTGCATATAAATATATATAAATTTTTTTCTCTCCAAGAAATTTTTTCTGCAAATTAATTTCTCACTCAGCGATACATTATTGTTATGTTACATTACATTTTACTTAAAAACAATTGGGGGGCTGAATGCAGCGGCTCATGCCTGTGATCCAAACACTTTGGGAGGCTGAGGAGGGAGGATTGCCCAGGAGTTCCAGGCTGCAGTAAGCTATGATTGCACCACTGCACTCCAGCCTGGCTGACAGAGCAAGACCTTGTTTCTAAAATAATTAATTAATTTTTTAAAATAAAATTTAAAAATATTTTGGGGAGTGAGGATGGGTAGTTGTGGCAATAAAGGAGTAACTTGAGGGATACTTGTGGTGATGACTTACTCCTATATCATTTTTTTTTTTTTAAGAGAGAGTCTCACTCTGTCACCTAGGCTACAATGCTGTGGAATCAGCCTAGCTCATGGCAACCTCAAACTCCTGGGCTCAAGTGATCCTACTGCCTCAGCCTCCCAAGTACCTGGGACTGCACAGGTGTGCACCACCCCTACTGGCTAATTTTTTCTATTTTCTTTTTTAGTAGAAATGGGCTCTCACTCTTGCTCTGACTGGTCTCAACCTGCTGACCTCAAGCAATCCTTCCACCTGGACCTCCCAGAGTGCTAGGAACTCCTGTGTCTTGATTGTGGTAGTGGTTACACAAATGTACACATGTAATAAAACTGCATAGAGCTATGTGCACGTGCACACACAAACACACAAATGAGGGCATGTATAACTGATGAAATCTGAATAAGCTATGTGAACTGAATTGTACTAATGTCAATCAAGCTTTTGGTTTTGATATTATGCTACAGTTAAGCAAGATTGCTACCATTGGAGGAAGCTGAGTGACGGGTATACATATTTTCTATTGCTGACATACTTTTGTAATTATTGCACATAAAACAATAAAAAAAAGAAGTTTATTTTAAATAAATGACACAAGTAATGCATGCTCATATTTTACAAAAAGAATGACCTTTTTCCAACCCCTACCCTTTTCTCAATAGAATCACTGTTAACAGGTAGACTTCCAGACATTTTCTTGGATACATAGACTTGGAGGAGAGGTCCATCAATGACCCAAATCATCATATGGTACCCTCTCCATCCTTTCTACTATGTGGGAAGAATTGTTTCTAATTTTCAGCTTTTTCAAAAAGAAAGCTACCTGCTGATAATACTATGAGGTTGCTTTCTCAAAGTGAAATTACTGAACAAAAGGTTATAAGTAACTTAAATTTCTATAGATCAAGCAAAACAGGAAGAGGCTATACAAATTACCTCCTAGTAATAGAGTATCAAAATGCCATTTTCCTATATATTCAACAATACTGGGAATTAGTCATCTTTTTTTTTATTATTTCAGGGAATTATAAGGGTACAAACATTTTGGTTACATTTTATATCTTTGCCTCTCCCTAGCAAGGGTTAGAGGCATGCCCTTCCCCTCCACAATGCTCACCGTGTCATTTAGGTGTGAGTTTACACTCCCCCCAACCACCTAATCCCTGGAGAATATTACTACCATGTGAGCACCATAATGTTTATCAGTCAGTGCCAATTTGATGGTAAGTACATGTGAAGCCCATTCTTCTGATCTTGTGTCACTTCACTTCGGATAATGGGCTCAAGCTCAATCCAGGAAAAGACAAGTGGTGCAAGATCACTGTCGTTTCATATAATTGAGTAATATTCCATTGTATACATATACCAAATTTTAATAATCCACTCATGAATTGACAAGCACTTGGGTTGTTTTCACATCCTTGCAATAGTGAATTGTGCTGCCATAAACATTTGGGTGCAGATATCTTTATTATAGAATGTCTTTTGCTCTTTTGGGTAAATGCCTAATAGTGCTATTGCTGGATTGAATGGTATTTCTATTTTTAGCTTTTGAGGTATCTCCAAATTCTTTTCCACAGAGGTTGCACTAATTTTCAGTTCCACCAGCGGTGTTAGAGTGTTCCTGTCTCTCCACATCCTTGCCAGCATTTGTTGTTTTGGGATTTTTTTTTTGATAGAGCCCAATCTCACTGGAGTTAGGTGATATCTCATTGTGGTTTCGATTTGAATTTCTTTAATGATTAGAGATGTTGAGCATTTTTTTATATGTTTGTTAGCCATTATTCTGTCTTTTTCTGAAAAGTTTCTGTTCATTTCCATTGCCCATTTATTGATGGGGTTGTTTAATTTTTTTCTTGTTGATTCTTTTAAGTTCTAGATAGATTCCTGTTATCAGCCCTTTATCAGATGTGTATACAGCAAATATTTTCTCCCAAATATGAAGAATGAAAATAAACAAGTAAAAAATAAAGAAATCAGATAATTATAGATTGTGATAAATAAAAACAGGGTATTATAGAAAGAAATTACATTGGATAGTGGTGGCTACTTCACATTAGGTAATCAGGAATGCTCCAGATTTTTCACTAAGTAAAATATTTTCGATAGTTTAGGATAAACAACCACTATTAAAACATTACATTTTTCAATTTAATACTAACTTATTAAGGCTTCCTAATAGGAAGGGCATTATATTTCATGAAATATTTTTTAGGCATTTGTTGAAACATTCATGTTTTATTTTGTTTTGGTTTTGCTGCATTAATCCATAATGGATTACCTTAATAGCATTCTAATTGTGAAACATTATAAAAACTCTATGGTCATTACATATTATTACTTTAATACATAGCTGAATTAATTGTGCTAATATTTAATTTAGAATATTTCCAACTACAGCCCATAGGCCAAATCTGGGCCACCACCAGTATTTGTACAGCCTGCAAGCTAAGAAGTGGTTGGAAAAAATAAAAAGAAGAACAGTATTTAATTACATGTAAAACATATGAAATTCAAATTGTGATCCATAAGTAAAGGCTTTGTATTAGTTTCCTATTGTAGCTGTGACAAACTATCACAAACGGAGTGGTCAAAAACAATATGAGTGTATTCTTTTACAGTTCTAGAGTTCAGAACCTGAAATCAGTTTCACTGGGCAAATGTCAAGGTTTTGGCAAGGCTGGTTCCTTCTGGAATCTCTTAGGGAAGAAAACTTCTCCTTGCCTTTTCTGGCTTCTAGAGCCACATTCTTCACATTTCTTGTGTTGGGCCCGGTCCCTGCATCTTTCGAGCCAGTGGCTTGGCATCTTCACATCTCTCTGCTTCTGTCATCACATTGCTTTTCTGTCTCTCTGAACGGTGTAGCAGTACTATTCATAGTAGCCAAAAAGTTGAAACAATCTACATGTCCACCAGCTGGGGAACAGATACACAAAGTTGTTGAATACTATTCAGAAATAACAAGACATGAATTATGAGAAGAAACAAAGTACTGATGTATGCCACACATGGATGAACCTTGCAAACATTACTCTAAATGCAAGAAGCCAGACACAAAAGACCCTGTATTGCATGACTCCATTTATATGAAAAGTCCAGAAAAGGAAAATCTACACAAACAGAAAGTAAGTTAGCAGTTGCCCAGGGCTAAGGGTAGGAACAGGGAGTGACTGCAAAATAGGCACAGGTTTCTTTTGGGGGAAAATGGAAATGTTTTAATAAATTAGATTATAGCGATAGTTACAAATGATTGTAAAATTACTGGAAATCTCTGACTTGTACACATCAAATGAGCGAATTTTATGGCATATAAATAAAGTTTTCAGAAGCACAACTAGAAAATGAGACCATTAAAGAAGTGTTAATTAAACTTTGTAATTTGAGGAAACACTTGTGATAAATGACAAGGAATAAGTGGTTTTCTGGAGTTTTATTTCCTTATGTGTCCTGCTGACAGAAAAGTGGGCAGGTACTAAGCGCACTGGACTTGGAGAAGGTTCATTCATTCAAGACATATTTGCCAGGCGTTATTCAAACACAGGAGATTTATGATTTAAAACCAACACACAAAAACAACCTTGTCTTCATGGGGGAGTTAACAGTCCCGTGAGGAGCAACAGCCACATCTACAGTGTGTCAGGTGACCAGAGAAGAAGGCTAGAAATGTGGGGAGGTGATTAGGGAAAGCCTCGTTGAGAAAATGACATGTGACCGACCACGCCAACGAGATGCGGTGGACCACTGGGATCTCTGCTAAAGAAAACAGCCAGGACGAAAACCCCGTCGTGGGGGCCTGCCTGGTGGGCTGAGTGGGGACAGCAAGGAGGCCAGGTAGGGCGGTGAGCGCCTTTGGCTTCCATGACGAGCGAGAGGGGCGGCCGGTGGCAGGTTCTGAGTGGAGGCGTTTACATCTCCACAGGGCCCCCTGGGCGGCTGTGTCGCTGACATAGCCGAGAGCTGGGGCAAGGGTGTAAGAAGGGGCCACTTAGGAGACTTTGAATACTCAACCCCAGCACAGATGACGGTGGGGCTTGGCCCAGGCTGGTAGAAGTGTGAGAAGTGGATGGATTCTGCATGTATTCAAAAGTACAGTCAACAGGATTGACGAATCGCTTGTAGGGTATGAGAGAAAGACTAGTCAGAGTTGATCGCGCGTCTTTAGACCCGAGCGACCGTTAGAATGCAGTGGCCGGGATAGGGAAGGGTTTCCCAGGGGAGCAAGCTTGGGGCGAGACAGAGACTAGAGTCGGCTTTTCAGTGCTCCCCAAACTGGGGCCCAGCGGCGGCCCACCCCCTCGCCCTGCCCCCCCCCCCCCCCCCGCGGGATCTGGCGCTCTCGCTCAACAGCTCCCCGGCGCCGGCGGGCGGGAAAACTCCCGCTCCCAGCGTGCCCCGCGGCTCGGCCAGCGCGCGCGTGCGCTGTAGCAGACCGCGCTGGCTGGGGCGGGCGAGGCGGTTGCTTCGAGTGTGCTAGTTTGCTCCCTGAAGGGAGTGAGGGCGGTTGGGTGTCCTCGGCCACTTTCGCCTTCCCGGGTAAGTGCGGCTGTGGCGGTTGACGCCGCCAGGGGAGGGCTGGCTTCCTTGGGGAGTGGGAGCGCGCCCGGCTGGCCCGCTTGAGGCGTTTGGGGCTCGCGGCGTCTCTCCTCAGGGACTGTTGGCCGGAGCGGGGAGGCGTTCGGTGCCCGCGGGAGCAGCTGGTGGGGGCTTCGTCCGCATTGCCGAGTAGGAGGGCGGAGTGTGGGGTCGGGACGGACGGGGAGAGCCGAACGGGGCCAACATCGACCACGTTGGCCAGTCTCCGGTGACTGGAGCGAAGCAGCCTCGGAGATTTGAGGGGTCGACCCCGGGATGGCCCAGGGCCCAGCCCCCGCACACGCGCGTTTGTTGAGTGAGTAAATACAATTCCCAAGTGCCGTTGAACCCCAGACTCCTGTGAGACCGCGTTTTAATTTTGCCCTTGTATTGTTTGGTGTGTGGTGTTGACCCGACCCCCCGGAAGACTTGAACTCTGAACGTTTTTGTTTGCCCCGTGACAGCCAACGTAATGCAGTAGGTATAACAGATAATGCACAAACGTTTTAAAACTGAAAGTTGAAGTGGTTATGTCATTTTGATCCTTCAGCGTGAGATATGATCACTTACTACATTCTGAATATAAGTGGTCGTCATAAAAATCATTTTTTGAATGTCCAGGATGTATGGACATGATATGAAATACAGCACATACCTTATTTAATAGCCACAACGTCTCTAGAAGGTTATTTTCTCCATTTGCAGTTGAAAAGGCGTTGTGGCTGAGCCAGGCTTCAAAGCCTGCCCTATCTGAATCCAGAGCAGAGATTAAAACCCAGACAATCTTAGAGCATGTTGCTTTGAGATTATATTATGGGACAATTTCCGTGTTTCTGAAGTAGTCTAGAACATGTACACTAGTTGTGAAGGACAAACTGTTCATTGTGAAGACTGGAGGGGAATAGAGTTTACCTTAAAAAATACCAAAAAACCATGTTATTAGAGGGTAGTAGAGTGGATCTAGCACGAGGGTGCTTGAGTACATGCATCTTATTTGAATCCCTCTTGAAGTCTCACAAGAATTACAGATTGTTCTTTTATAAGCACCAAAAGAGGCAAGAAAGGTTCATTTTTCTCTGCTGCACCCCTTTTAACAAACGGATTTGTCCTGTGAAGTTTGGATTCACTTGAGGGGCCACACTTGGGGATCTGGAGGGCCACATGTGGGCTTGAGGCTGTAGGTTCCACACTCCGGAAGGGTGGAGAGGATGAGAAAAGAACACTGTTACTCAAACAGTGGGCTCTGGAGAGCATGTCTTAACAAACCTTAACTTCCAAACCAGAAGTGGGAAATGTCTGGAACAATTCTGTATGAACCACAGAATCTTCAAAAGTATGGAAACCAGCAACACTGGACACCTTTGGGCCTGGTAATGAAGATGGTGGTAGTGCTGGGAGTGGGTGTGTGGAGCTTAAATAAAGATGACTTAGGTGAAATCTCTTGGAGAAGCAGTTAGATATCTAGATCCCCTTCCCCATTTCCCACTGTTGGGTAACTGCCTTTACCCATTAGAAGACAGAATAGAAGCTTATTCTCTTGAAAAAATAAAACAGGAGCTTTGAACTGGGGGACCCAAAGCATAGTTAATTATTGGGCTGCATTTATGAAACAAGGGACACTGAAGCCTGAAATCCTTTATTCTCCTTCTCCCACTCAGCTCCCAGGACTTTTGCCCCAGGACTGATACTCTCCAGGTTCAAATAAGAGAATTCTACAAACACGCACAAATGGAAAAATTTGCAATAAGTTGGTCACAGTGGTTGCTTCTGGGAAGGGATAGGAACTTGGTGGTGGTGGAGGGGGAGAATGTGAGGAAACCTCACTATCTTTTTGTTCTTTTAAAATTTTCTACCATGTGCATGTGTTACCTATTCAAAAATGAAATGTATTCTTTACCCCAGGAAGGTCTATGAAAAAAAAAAAAAAAAAAGAAATGTATTCTTTAAAAAAACTATGAACAGACCCTTGACAGCTATTCCTATCCCAGGAATTTATCTTATAGCTATACCTACAGTGTGAAAATAATGTAAGTACAGTATTATCTGGAAAGATACAAAAGAAGCAGGTAGTATTGGTTACCTTTGGAGAAGGGATCTAATGGCAAGGCAAAAGTGGAATGAATGAGACTTTTTCACTGTATATTCTTGGTATCTTTTGAACTCTGAACCATGTTATTATTACCTATTGAATGAACAAACAAATAAATGTTAAATAGGGAAAAATGGATCAGTAATGGAGATCCTAATTATTGATTATATCCTGAACAATATAAGATCTCTTACAGTAGGAAGAAATGCTACATAACAACTCCAAAATTTCTGTGGCTTTTAATATTTTGTGCTTATGGATCTTTGGGTAACCTCTTATTTAGATCTTGGCTGAACTAGTCTGGACTTTAGTTTTGGGTTCAGATCTGCTCCATGCACCTTCATTTTGGGACCCAGGCTGAAAATGCAAAACTACCTGAATCCTGTTTTTCTCATGGCTGAGGGTGAAAGTTCAAGAGAGCTTCTGGAAATTTGCCTCATGCCTCAGCTCAGAAGTCACACATTGGAATATCTGTGTGTATTCCATTGGTTAAAACAAGTCACACAAAAACCAAACCAAGCCAAAAGTCAATAGGGTGAAGACGTATATTCTGCCTACTGGAGGCACTGCAAAGTCACATAACAAAGGGTGAGGATGAATACTTACATTACATCGGAGGAGGAAGACTTGGTAACTATGATGAAGAAAATGGTTTAATAGGTACAGAGAAATTAAGTTGAAGATAATTGATTGAGAATGATTCTTACAAAAATATGTTTATGTATATGTAGATTATTGTTTATACCAAGATATAGCATCCTACTTTGATATGAATTATCTTATGGCTTCCATATTAAGGTATCACTTTATCTTATATAACATCTTTATATAATGTTATTTGCTTTATCCTATATAACATCTACCAGCCCCACACCTGGCCCTATAACTAATTCTTAGTGCCCATAGAAACCTTGAAGATAGTATTTGATATAACTAATACACATGTAAAGACACCAGTTTTAGAGAAGTAGTTCTAAATGTGTTTATTTCAGCTACTGAATGTGTTCATTCATAGTTCTTATGTCATATCCATGTCTGCCAACTCACCTTTCACAACAGAATCTTCTTTTCAGGGAGATGTCCTTTGCTTCTCAGATGTAATGCACTTTAAGTTTGTTATTCAACAGTGAAAATGAGTCATACAGAGGTAATACATATTTTCATATGTTCTGCATCTTTAGGGTTCTTTTTTTTTTTTGTAATTATATGGCTTCAGAGTAATCTTACTTTTCACTTTCACTGTGAGAGGCAGTGTAGCATTAGTGTTTAAAAGTGAGGACTCTGGAGCAGACTACCCAAATTTGAATCCTAGCTAGTGGCTGTATAACCTTGGGCAATTTACTTAATCTCCTAAGCCTTATCTATAAAATGGGGATAATGATAGTACTTGCCTCAGAATTGTTAAGAAGGTTAAAGGACTTACTACATAGAAAGCACTTATAATAGTACCTGACATGTAGTAAGCGCTTCTTAAAATATTAACTATTATTAATATAATTACTTTTTGGAGGCCATGACTTGAATCATGAGCCTCATAGAGCAAACTTATGTAGTCATTCAGTTGTCTGAATAGGCAAGGAAGTAATTTTTGATCTCTTGAATTCCAGGTTAAATTAAAAATACCTTTTGGGAATAAATTACTAGATGCTGTTTGTTTGGTACCTAACAAAAGCTTGACATATGGAATAATCCTTACACACGGAGCATCAGGAGACATGAATCTTCCTCATTTGATGTCACTGGCATCCCATCTTGCATCTCATGGGTTTTTTTGCCTGAGATTTACCTGCAAAGGCCTTAATATTGTACATAGAATTAAGGCATATAAATCAGTTTTGGTAAGAAAATTTCTTTGTATTTACTTATAACAGAATTCTGTTTAAAATTCTCAATAAGTTTAAGACATTTTGTTAGCAGTCATTTGGTTTAGTTAAAAAAAAAACTACATTTATTCTTAGAAACTCAGTAGTACATGAAAGCTGTTTAGTGTTCAGATTTCTCTTTTTGCCATCAGTTAGTTTCCATGGAGATGAATGCTTACATCATAAATGTTCTTCCATGACATTGCCAAGGAAACTACTTTAGATATGATTTTCTTCAGGTACTAAAGCTTGGAAAAAAAAAAAAAAAGAATAACAAAATAGATATGATTTTCTCACTGGAATTAGATAACTTTAAAATATAGTTCTCACATTGTAGAGTATTTCTAGAATATTTTATAGAATATACTATGTCTATACAATTATGGGACTGTTTTCTGTATATATTATTTAGAAATATTGCCTAAAATCCCTGTATAAAACTCAACTCTGAAATATCCTTTAACCTAAATTATTTCAAGCTTGCTTATAAGTTTTTTGGAACATTAAATCAGATGTTAGCATTATTAACAGATTTGGTATTAGTTGGAAGCTTTTTCTGCCCTTTTATAAAAAAAAATAACTTATTCTTTAAAAGTAGTTTAGTGCTTGAATATTTTTATAAAAGTAAATTGATTTTCTTTCTCACCTGTTTGCCTATATTACTCAACATGTGATTTAATAGTGAAGGCATGACCAGACAAGGAAAGAACTGCTTACCTGTTTCAAGAAGAATCCCTTAAGATTTTGTGATTATCTTTGCACAGATTTTCACACATTTCAGTAGTGATGAAAAATAATATATCTTGGCTTTCCAGTGGAATATTTTATAGGAGAAGAATTGATCATTCTTTGGTTGATTTTCCTAGAATTACCTAAAGACCTCAGGAGAATATAAACTTGCAGGTGTTTTCCTTGGAGGTAAGTTGCAATGCTTATTAACAACTGGTTTTAATACAGGAATAGATAATTGATAATTAAAATTGATAACAGAAAGCTAATTTAAGTATTATTTTTTTGTTTTAGTAACTCACCTCCTTGACATTAAAGTACTTTATATATATTTAAAGCAAATTTGAACGTCATATATATATTGTAGTCTGAGAAGCTCTCCTTTTATTTATTTATATCCTGAATCACTTTTTTGCAAATGATGATTCCCTGACAAGGATTATCCTCATCCTTTTAAGTATTCTTCAGAAAAATAATTGCTTTTTTTTTTTTAATTTGACTTAAGACCAATCAGTTTTTAGCTCTTCATAAAGCAATAGGTATCCATCATGGGTACTGCAACTAGTTAATTGCCACCTTTTGGAATTTGTGGATGAACAGTAAATGAAATCTAATTTGCCACACCATCACTGCTACTTTATGCGAAGGTTTATATTTCAAACTGAATTTAATTTTAATTGATTTTAGGTCGTTCGATGGGCTCAAGAGCAGCTGCTTCTGTTATGTGTCATATTGAGCCAGATGATTCTGATGATTTTGTTCGAGGTCTCATTTGTATTTCTTATCCACTGCACCATCCAAAGCAGCAGCATAAACTCAGAGATGAAGATCTCTTTCGTATAAAAGATCCTGTACTATTTGTGTCAGGCTCAGCAGATGAAATGTGTGAAAAGGTGAATTACAACTCATTGTTTATGTGAATGAGAGAAAGAGTATGAAAAACAAGTATCTTGGGAACAAGATATTACTGCAACATTCAGTCTCTTTTACAAAAGACGTGAGTTTGACTGATGCTAGTTTTATGCGTAGGTTACCCTGTTGCTTTGGAGAACCTAAAAAATACAAGCATACTGACAAAATTCATCTTCCTGGAAAGAGTTGTAAATGTAACCTTTATTTGGGAAATGAAGGATTAATATCTGAGTCTTCTGATTTTGGGGATTATTACACTGTACATTTGTTTTACCATTTCAATGGTCAGATTATTTGTTATAAAACTAACTCTTGAGAAAGGGTTGGCAATGTCTACACATTACTGAATACTGGCCCAATATTATGAAACAACTTTGTATTTCCTATATAATTTCCTTTGGGAAAAGATTTTTTTTGGAAAACTTTTTATTGTCACTAATGAATGCTTGATCTGTTACGTAGTATTGCTATATCTGTAAGAAGTGATCTGCCACTTCTGTATATGTTTCCTTCTACATTTTGTTGCCTAGAATATTGTCTGCAGAGAAAATATTTAATGAATACTTGATGAGTGGATGCCAAAATAAGTGGGGGAGAGAGAATCTTTTATTAAACACCAATAGAACATTAGTCTAGTATCCTCTTTTTTTTTCCTTTAGAATTTGTTGGAGAAAGTGGCACAGAAAATGCAAGCTCCCAGTAAAATCCACTGGATTGAAAAGGCAAATCATTCCATGGCAGTGAAAGGACGGTCAACAAATGATGTTTTCAAAGAAATAAATACACAGATTTTGTTTTGGATCCAAGAAATCACTGAAATGGACAAGAAATAATTGTTATTAGTTAAAAGCCATGTTATTTTGAATACAAATACTGTTAATTTGATAAAGAATAATATACCTCTCAGCATTATGAGATATATTTCAGACTAATTTAATGTTCTTTAATGTTCTATTTTTAAACACATTTTGATTGTGAAATTAATGTCTTTCACAAAGTATCTTTTGAAAGCACTGTTATAGTTGTATAAAGATGATGTAAAAATATTGAAGGTGGTCTAAATATAATTTATTTTCATTAGTATAGTTAAGTTTTGAAAAAAAATTAAACATTTGAATTTTGTTACAACAGTGCTTTTGTCTTACTGATAAGCAACTGCGAAACTATTCGTAATTTTGCAGAGCAGTGTCACTAAAAAAGGAAAACAAATCTTACTTTACTATAGTAAATCTAGTCAAATTTATAGAGTGTATACATTTTGTCCTCTAATCTTTTAATAAATCTCATTTAAGGGATAGGAACTAAGACACATTTCAAATATGGAGACCCTGGACACTTTTTAGAATGAAATAACTTTCATTCAAGAAGTGTTCACTGAAGGCCTGTTACAGGCAAACTTCATTAGATTTGCAAAGATGAGTAAACACCTGGAGTTTACAACACAGTGTGTGAGGCTGGGTGGTGCAGTGGTTCACATCTGTAATCCTTGTACTTTGGGATTCTGAGGTAGGAGGATCACCCTGAGCAACACAGTGAGACCCCCATATCTACAAAAAATCGTTAGCTGGGCATGGTGGCACATACCTTTAGTCTCAGTTACAGTAGGCCAAGGGAGGAGGATCACTTAAGCCTAGGAATTGGAGGTTACAGTGAGCTGTGATGACACCACTGCACTCTAGTCTGGGCAACAGAGACCCTGCCTCAAAAAAAAAAAAAAATGTGTGAAATCAATGGGTAGAACACTGCCTGATTAAGGTGAGAAATATATAATGGCTAAATAGTGGAACATCTGTATCTAGGCAGAGTTAGGGGCATTTAATTTTGCCTTGGGAAGTTCAGGTATCTCCTGAACTGGATCTTAAATAATAATGAGTTATATATTAAAAACAGTTTCTATATTTCCTATAAAGTACACAAAATTTGATGAGGCTGCTGTTAGATTTATATAGAAGTTTGTATAAGGAATCTTTTTCTGTAGTAAGAAATTTTTTCCCTAGCCTCCCTACTGCTCTTAATGTTAGGCCTCTCAGACAGCCTCAGGTGGCCTAAGCAGCTTGCAGACTTTTGGAGGTTCCTCATTCCTCCTGCCCTGGTGGAGTCAATGGATTTTAATTTTAATTTTCTAAATATGGCATAAAGAATGAAAACTAGTTAACCATGTCCAAATCATGACTAATATTATAAAATCATACAACTATAAATTCAAATTCCTTTATTGGTGTACAATACTTTTTGGCTAAGTCATTTTTTGAGCAAGACCTAAATTTCAAAAAATAGTGTATAAATAAACAATAGTTAACATTGGAAATTTTAAAACAATTCTGGTATCAAAAGTTAAAAAAATACCCAGAGCTATCAAAAAAATCATCACTGGTCTATTAACTATAAATCAGTTGGAGAATATTAATATTGTGAGCCAGAGATAAAACTAATGGGAAAAAGGAAAATAAAAAGGACAACTTATTACAAAGCAGACCATAATATAAAAGTTTGATGAAATAGATTTAAAAGGTTACTAACCAGGCTATGAAGTTATATTTGAGTTTGTAAAATTAAACTATAGGCATAATATGGATGACCAAAGATTTTACTTTAAATTCAGGGATAATGCAGGTGATCATTTAAAGTTGCTTTTCTCCTAAGTTGTCTATAAGAAACTAATATTCCTTCTTGATGCAATGGCTTGCCATTTGAGAATTATAAGCCTAGCAATAGTTGGAGAACATATACCTACTAGAGAAAGATACAAGTGATATGTCAAGGTTGAAATAAACATTTAGGAAAAGGTCTCATCTACTCTTCTGCATAGATTCTTGCAGGAAAATGTTCAGCCCTTTGAAATTTAAGATTATGGTCAAAGAGTCATCCTGGTGTCTCTTCTGGTAGGCCCTAATTAATGGCATAAATACCTAGACCAGTGCTTCCCAAGTTGGGGGGCAGGGTGGAAGATGGGATTTTACCCCCAAAAGGACTTTTGGCAATGTCTGGAAACTTGTGTTTGTCACAGTTAGAGTAGGGGTGCTACTGGTATCCCATAGGTAGAAGGAAAAGAGATGTTGTTCAACATCATACAATGCTCAGGACGGTAGACACAACAAAGAAGTTAAACCTAAAAAATAAAGATTTTAAATACCTGTAGGCTTTGGTCCAGTAGACTGGAAGGCTAAATTCCATCATTTATAATGTGTTATTGAGTTCATAATCTCCAATACTTGGGGAAAGTAAGAGCTCAGTAAATCTTTGTTGTTACACTCAAACTGACAAGACAGAGACCTGAATGGTTTTCTTGAGTGTAATGAATAACATTTCTTTCCTCAACCCACCTGGGATAAAGACAACGGAAGTATTCATTACATCTTCAAAGGCAGAGTACTCTATTTTTTTTTTTTCATGTTGGTGATTTTCAGTGAGGAAGAGTACCCCATATCAGAGGTAGTATTTTTACATTTTTCTAGTCCAGATTATCCTGTCTACTTGTGACAAAAATTGTATTTGGTTGGTTGGCTTCCAGGCCTACCCTCTAGACTTTGAGGGAAAATGAGCAGTATTATACTTAGATCTGCCTCTGCCCCACCCTTAATTCTGACATCTGAAAGAACATCACAAATAACTCCTTGGAATCACCATAGGCAAGGTGAAGAGGAAATTCTCCAGGAAGCCATTCCAAGGACTAACTTTAGTTTTCTGCTTTTCAATAGATCATAAAGGGGTGCATTGCCAACTCTGGCAAAAAGAAATATAAAATGAAGTGTTATATTTTAAGAAAAAAAATCAGGCCCATAGGAGATAACTTATTTGTCTTAGATAGTAACAATGGGACATACTTACCTAAAATTATTTTGTTCCAAGTTTAAAAAATAAAATAATTTGGCATTTATCTGAAATTCAAATTAAATTGGGCATCTAATATTTATATTTACTAAATCTGTCAACCCTACATTCATTCTAAGAAAGAACTATAGTTTTTCTGACTATGAAGAAGCATAAAATACACTAGTCCTGGTGGTCATAGAAAGGGTTATGTCAAATGCTTTCTACCAATTCAAATTCATTCTATTTTTTTTTTAATTATAGGGCAGTGATAATCCAACTATGCTAAGGGATTATAGAATTATATTGCCTTTTTATGAAGTTAATGGATAACTTTTTGAATTTTAATAAACTACTTATGGCACTGTACATGTCTCACCAATGAACTTTCATTATTGCTAAAGTAAGTTGAGCTCAAATACCCACTATGACACGTACCTCACTTTGCTTAGGCCCACAGCAATCACTACTGCACTGGATAAGGCACTGGGCAGCACTGGAAATTTTTTTCTGCAGAGTGTTGCACATGGTTACAAGATGGGCATACCAACTTTTTATGTTTTGGGGCATCTGAAATCTAGGACTTCTGAATGAGACACTGATCTCTTTCAAATATTACATTAAAATGTCAAAGCAATATTATTTCTTTAAAGAAGGGATAAGGGAGAGATTAGAAAATAATACATCTTTGGCATTTTGGGACCTAGAGTCCTGGATTATTCAAAATGATTGGGTAGCAATCCTCTTTATAATTTTCCTAGGAATTATTTTTGAGCTAGTACTAGTAAAAATTTGTGCATTCTTTCAGAAGAAGCCTGTACGTCCAGAAAAGGGTAGTTCAGATGCCCAAGAGGTAAGAACAATTTGATTTCCCTTTCCCCTATTTTTCAAAATCACACATAAGAATAATTTGTAATATTTTTTAACTTTGATAGTTATATTACTCCTCTAACAATTAACTTTTTCTCTTAAAATAGAATGAAGACAGTTACCTGAAAAGCATGAAATTTGGTAAATATTATATAATTTTATACTTTAATATAAAACTTCTTCAGCCTGAACTTCTCCCATTGATACTGTGACTTTATAATTCCCATTTAGCTCCAGAGAATCAGTCAGTTACTCATTCATCTTCAGAAGAAAGGTAAGTGATATATTTTGACATTAAATAAAATAGGTTGGTTATGTTCTATTCAGAAATGTATTTACTGCTGAATTTTAGAGAAGGAGTTTTCCTGTATATACAGAGGACCACAGCTATTCTATATCATGACTGAATCTAACATTTATTTTAAATGGTTTCTATGTTCCAAGCTGTGTAAAGGGATTTCCATATATTATTAAAATTATCCTTCAAGGTAAGTAGTAATGTTTTTATGGGTGAAGAAAATAAAACTTGGAGAGGGTAAGTGACTTGTTTTCCTACTCTTTTTCTCTAACATACACAAAGAAGTATTGGTACCCGTTGTTATAATTCAGTTGAAAAGATACTTATTTAGCACCTACTATGGACCAAGCAGATACTGAGCTAGATGCTACAAGAGTGACATGAAAGGAGTCTATAAAATCAGAATTTATTTACCAGAATGCTAACGATACCTCAGTGCTAGGGATTAAATACTATCATCATCTCTACTCTTAGAGCTATCAGTGTTTTAATGGTTTTAATTGAAATTCATTCAATAATTATTATATATCCACTATATATTAGTGGATACTGGTTGATTCTTGTATACAAACAATAAAATAGTCTCTGTTCTCAAGAAGCTTATATTCTTGTGGTGGAGACTTATACACAAAGGACGATTGCCTTGTGGTATAGTGACAACGATAGATAGAAATTTGAGAACATTTAGGAGATAATTAAGCCAACCCAGGGGTGTTAGGAATGGCTTCAGGAAGAAGATTATGCTGGAGCTGAATTGTAAGAATGAATGAATGAAAATTAGCCTAGAAAAGACAGGGTTAGGAGAATAAGAAAGACATTCCAGGACATGAGCACAGGCAAGGAAATCAGAAGCAGCAGGGTGTGTGAGAAATACAATTACTTTAGAGTTGCTGGAATGTTAAAGTTGAGTCAGGGAGTAGTGGGAGATGACTGTGAAGAAGTAGGCAGGAGTCAGATCATGGAAGGCTTTCTATACCATGTTAAGAAGCTTAGATTCAAGGCCGGGCGCTGTGGCTCACGCCTGTAATCCTAGCTCTTGGGAGGCCGAGGCGGGCGGATTGCTCAAGGTCAGGAGTTCAAAACCAGCCTGAGCAAGAGCGAGACCCCGTCTCTACTATAAACAGAAAGAAATTAATTGGCCAACTGATATATATATAAAAAAAATTAGCCAGGCATAGTGGCGCATGCCTGTAGTCCCAGCTACTCGGGAGGCTGAGGCAGAAGGATCACTCGAGCCCAGGAGTTTGAGGTTGCTGTGAGCTAGGCTGACGCCACGGCACTCACTCTAGCCTGGACAACAAAGTGAGACTCTGTCTCAAAAAAAAAAAAAAAGAAGCTTAGATTCAATTCTGTAGAAAGTAACCAGTAAAGATGGTTAAGCATAGGAGTGGCACAGTTTTTTGTATTTCAGTTATATCACTAGTCACTGTGTGGAGGATGAATCTGAGGATTACTTGATGTTAGTCTAATTTCTTTCACTTGTCAGGTGTAAAAGGGCTTTAATTCATTTCATCTGGTCACTATATTGTCATATTGGGTATTAGCAACTCTAATTCTAAGGTGGGTGTCTTGGGAAAATGTAACAATATCTGGAGATACAGGTAGGTAGAACCCTTGTCAGGGTTGGCTGGGAATAGGACTGTCAGTGCAAGCTAGAGCACTTCAGTAGTGCAGTCAGAATAAAGTCCACTTGGACAGTCCAAGAGTTAGCTTTTAAGACATTGCAAGGGTTAGGTGTGCATGGTGATCCAAAGTTCACATGTAATTCAAAACCAGAGGATTGATAGGCAAGGGAAGTTGCAAGAAGAACTGGGGAGAAAAGGATTTTCAGCTTCAAAATCAAGGAGGCCTCAGAGTTTTCTTATTCTTGTGTCCCATCATTCTTTTCCTGCCCAGGCAGGAGTTGATCCTTAGGTGGCACCTTTCTAGGGGACAATAGGGGAAAGTAATATGAGAAGAAGAGATTGGGGGCTGGTGTTGAGGGAAAAGGAGTAGGGAAGAGGTATGGCAGCAGCGTATTGTGGTGAAAAAAGCACAGATTTTGAAAAAAGGTCTAGCTTGTTATCATAGTTCTGTCTCTTGATGGCATGGCCTTAGGCTAATGACTTAAACTTACTATACTTTTATTTCCTAATTTTCAAAATAGGGATTAGAAGAATTATCTCTTAGAGATATCATGAAGATTAGTTAAAATCATATGTAGTGGGGGTTTTTGTTGTTGTTTTTTGTGGGGTTTTTTTGAAACAGAGTCTCACTGTTGCCCGGGCTAGAGTGCCATGGCGTCAGCCTAGTTCACAGCAACCTCGAACTCCTGGGCTCAAGCAATCCTCCTGCCTCAGCCTCCCAAGTAGCTGGGACTACAGGCATGCACCACCATGCCAAGCTAATTTTTTCTATATATAATTTTTGTTGTCCAGCTAATTTTCTTTCTGTTTTTAGTAGAGACAGGATCTCCCTTTTGGTCAGGTTGGTCTTGAACTCCTAAGCTCAAACAATCCACCCATCTCGGCCTCCCAAATGCTAGGATTATAGGCGTGAGCCACTGTGTCCGGCCAAAAGAGAATCTCTTGAAAGGCCTGTAACACACACGGACACATACACACACACATAAACACAGTCTGGTGGCGTCTCATTTCCCTAACACACATAAAATGTTACTGGTATCTTTGCTGGTGCAAAGAAAGCAGTCCTGAGGCCACAATTATTTGGCGTAAGCTATCTATCAAGAGTTACCCATTTGGAGTGGATGTTGACAAAAAAGATGAACACCCAAGACAAGTCTGGTGACCCACAGGGTCTGGCTTCTTTTAGAGACACAAGACTCTGGGGGAGCTAAGAGGCACATGTTTCTTGGTTTTAAACAAATTATAACAGATGGTGATGGTATAGACACATGCCATTAAAACTAAGGAGAGATATTTAGGGTCAAGTTTTAAGGTAATGAGAGATTTTGGTGGGTTGGGGTGGAAAGAATATTTGTTGTGAGATTTAGACTTAGATCTGCAAGATTTAGACTTGAGTCTGAGAATTTCTTTTCCTCCAGTTTTTTTGGGGTGTTTTTGTTTTTCTTTTTGTTTTGGTACACAGTGCTTCTGCTAAAAGGGTCTGAGAATTTCCTACTTCTATTTCATATAACTACACCCCTCAAGGGCCTTGACCCATTACTTGAAAGAAGTAGAGAAAGCAACAGGAATCATTTTGAAGTCATAGGTACCCAAACTTTCTCAGTTAATGGTACCCTTAGTGTCTCTAATTTTCCATTGCACCTCTAGGCCAAAGTAAATAGCTAACAGTTCAATTGTATATTAAGTAGTTAGGTCTAAACAACTAATTCTGGTACTTATTACCATGGCTCTAGAACTTTCAGTCTTTGCCTGGGAGCCCAGGAGCATGGGGAGTTCTTTTTAAAATCTCAAAGGCCATTCGAGATTCCTTGGTAGGAAAGGCCAAAGGACATTTCACAAAAGTTGAGACATACCTAATGCTGTTTGCATTGTAATCAACTTTCTCCTACGTCTGCCTCTAAGTCTTCACTAAAGTCAGCAATGTTTATGAATAGCTTGTGTATAAGGGATTTTTTTCTCCTCACTGAAATCGAGGAAAGGATTGGGTCAGCTTGTTGTAGACCAGGTTAGTAATCTGAAGCTTAGAGGTGGAGATGACCATTCAGCAGACACTTACTGAGGGCCTACTCTGTGCCAGGCATTGCTCCAGGCCCTTGAGATACATCAGTGAACAAAACAAAGATTGCTGCTTTATGTTTGGGGGTACAGGAGGGTCAGATAATAAATAATAATGTAATAAGTAAATTATATAATATGGCAGGAGGTGACATATGAAATCAGGGAGAGCTGTGCTGGACAGGCATAGTCTAGTAAGCCAAGCACACTGATCTTACATTGGATCTGGGGGAATGGTTATGTTAGGATTATGTCATGCCCATCCGTAAACTAATCACTTTGAAATGGGATTACTATAGCCTAATCTGAGGTAGAATAGGTGTTGGAGAGTAGTCATCATGATTATTACTCCAACCCCAAATTTTGTCTAAGTTGTAAGGATTGACCTTGCTACCAAAGATTACATAGTAGAATCAATGGGTAGATAACAAAGATGTGTCTACAGCCTGGATGCAATTGCTAGGGCTTCCATAACAAAATACCACCGTCTGGGTGGCATCAACAACAGAAATTTATTTTCTCATGATTCTGGAAGCTAAAAGTCCAAGATTGGGGTGTTAGCAAGTTTGGTTTCTCCTGAGGTCTCTATCCTTGGCTTGCAGATGGCTACTTTCTTGTTGTGTCCTCACATGTTCTTTTCTCAGTATGTGCTTGGCCCCTGTGTCTCTTTTTTCTTTTTAATTTATTTTTTATTCTTTTAGAGACAGGGTCTGACTCTTTCATCTGGCTGGAGTGCAGTGGTGCAATCATATAGCTCACTGGAACCTCGAACTCCTGGGCTCAAGCAATCCTCCTGCCCCAGCCTCCCGAGGAGCTGGGATACAGGCAGGCGTGCATCACCACAGCCCAGCTTTGTCTAAATTTTCTCTTGTTATAAAGATACCAGTCATATTGGATTAGGGCCCTACCCTAAAGGCATCAGTATAACTTAATTACCTTTTGATGGCCTTATCACCAAATACAGCCATAGTAATTAGGGCCCACCCATATGACTTCATTGAACCTTAATTGATTATTTAAAGGCCCTGTCTCCAAATATAGTCAATTCCGAGGTACTGGGGATTAAGACTTCAACATATGAATTTTGAGGGAACACAATTCAGCCCATAACACAGTCAACATATTAGAAGTTAATAAATGCTTTAAAAATGGAGGGAATTTGAAAGCTATTTAACATAATTTAAGTATTTACTTAATACTTTATTATTTATGAAAAAATGTAATCATTAATGTAGTTTAAAATACCCCTAACTAGCTGAATCCAGATTAATGAGATTTTGCTATATAAGTAATCGTTTATCACAAATAATTTTTTTTTTGAGACAGAGTCTCACTTTGTTGCCCAGGCTAGAGTGAGTGCCGTGGCATCAGCCTAGCTCACAGCAACCTCAAACTCCTGGGCTCAAGCAATCCTCCTGCCTCAGCCTATGAGTAGCTAGGACTACAGGCATGTGCCACCATGCTTGGCTAATTTTTTCTACATATTTTTAGCTGGCCAATTAATTTCTTTCTATTTTTTAGTAGAGATGGGGTCTCGCTGTTGCTCAGGCTGGTTCTAACTCCTGACCTTGAGCGATCCTCCCGCCTCGGCCTCCCAGAGTGCTAGGATTACCAGCACAAATAATTTTTATGGTTGGGTAGGTCATGATGAATTTCATATACTGCCTTTATTACTTTGATGAGAGTTATTTAAAAGTAAGGTCATACTCCAGTAAAATATGAGATAATCTGTGTTCCCCAAATAAATAGCTACTAGAGTTATCTGACCTAGTTTACATGAGTTTCAGCTTTTGATGTTAGGCTTGCCCTTCTGTAAAACAGTGACTTTCAAAATTTGTCATGAATCAGATTCAACTTGAGGGTTTATTAAAACTCAGGTTTCTGGACCCTATCCCTAGAGCTTCAGATTCAATGGGGCCAGGGTAGGTCTGAGAATGTGCATTTCTAACAAGTTTCCAGGTATATTAGTTAGGTTATCCAGAGAAACAGAACCAATGGGATATATATATGTATGCATATATAGAGAGAGAGAGAAAGAAAAAGAGAGATTTATTTTAAAGAATTGGCTCGTGTAATTATGGCAGCTAGCAAGTAAAATATCTGTAGTTTAAGTCCAAAGGCTGTCTGCTGGCAGAATTTCCTCTTGCTGGGGGTGGGGTCGGGTGTCAGGGTATCAGTCTTTTGTTCTATTCAGGCCTTCTACTGATGATGCCCACTCACATTAGGAAGAGCAATCTGCTTTTCCATAGTCCACTGATTTAAATGTTAACCTCATCCCAAAACACCCTCAGAGAAACATCTAGAATAATGTTCGACTATGTATCTTGGATCCATGGCCCAGCCAAATTGACACATAAAATTAACCATCATACTGATGCAATTGGTCTGAGCACTTTTTAGATTGAGACTAATCATTTAAGGTAAACAGATATTGGCAAGTTTGTAGCCATGATCATTACTCCAACCCAAAGTTGGCCAGAGGAGCACTTTCCTAAAATGTAGGGTTTTCTGTTGAACACAAACAAGCAGCTATTAAAGTAAAGTGGACTTATCTATAGAAAGCTATAGTTTATACTATTAGATACTTTTCTATATACTTACTAAATTTCCATAGGAATGTTTTCTTCTTATGAAAACTTTCAGATAGAGAATAGAAGTAAACTGATACTCCTTGTAGAAAGGTATAATCTTATCATGCAACTTTGACTCATTCCTGTCAAAAATAGACTTTTAGAGAGGTTGAGGTAGAAAGTCTCTTCTTCTGAGATATATAAGTGATTTTACTTCATTTTATCAGTTGATCAGTTTATTAAATGGAAGGAACTAGGTAATAAATTATTTTGTAGTGTGGGTAATAGTCTTCCAATTTATATTTATCTGTTGTCATACATTATATTAGTTTTCCTTGAATCTAGAAGACAGTTCTTAAGAAATATATCCTAAGTGGTACTTCACTTGCACACTGTTTTCTTATATTTCAGAGTTGACACTTTTTCAGAAAGAAGAATTACATCATTACTTACAGCTAAAGAAAATGAAGGTAACTTTGAAGATGGAATTTTGTCTTCAGATGAAATAATATGGGCACATACCAGTGAAAGTGAATATCAAGTAAGTCACTTTAGTGAAAGTCACGTGCCATCTTCAACTGAGAACAGCTCATCTTTGTCATTGTTTCATTCAGAAGTAAAGGAAATTTTTCTAAGTCGTAGAGAACATCCAGAAAATGAAATACAATTTTCCTCAAAGAAATTATTTTCAATAATGAAAACGAACAAAAATAAAAATTCAGGGTTTTCTTCTGATCTTAAATTTTTAGTAACTAAATTCACTGTAGAAAATGAAGATCTAGATGTGGCACCATGCCCTCCTGCTCATTTATTTCTTTCTAGAGACCAAGTTAGACGTCTGGAAGAAAATGTGAGAAATCAAATTCCTTCGAAACCTAAAGCTAAGTTAGTGAGTGGAACTACAGATCTGTGCTTAAGATCCCCAATGTCTTTGATTCAGAATCAACATTCTGTTGCAATGGTTATTTCTGCCCAAGCACAAGATTCTTTTCTAGGACAAAATGCTATTCAGAATCAAGGTTTTTATGAAGCCAAATTTCTTAGTCAAGCCCCAAAATTTGTTCACGACCAAGAATCTATCAACAGCCAGCCTGATATCACAGCCAGCTACTTTGCTCAGCCTCAAGATTTGATGAGGAAACCATTTATCAGCAGCATACAAGACTCCTTCCAAGCCCAAGATTTAGACAGGAGTCAACATTTTGTTAAAATGACACAAGATTCAGTAAAGGACCTAGAATCTGATGAACAGTTAGGTGAGGCCCAATATCCTGTTTGGTGTGAAGATTCAAACAAGATTAAATATTCAGTCAAGGGGAAAAATACTATTTATAAGAATAGTAAATTCATGGTTTTAACTGTAAGTCCAAATTTAGTTGCTGAAGATGTTCTGCAACTAGAGAGCTTAAAGCCACAAGACCAGCAACAAATTGCTTCATCAGAATTAACCCAGGATTCTGTATATAACTCAGTGCCTCTTTCACCTACCATTAAAGGACAGAAAAACAGAAGAAAAACATCAGACAGTAAAAGCAAACCCAATCTTAATATACTATCTCTAAAAGCAAAGAAAACACTAACTTCACGGGTATTTCAAATCACAGTATGTTACCCTTCAAAAGATCGAAATGAATTAGGATGCAAGAACAATGCTAGAAAGAAAGAATTACGTGAAAGGAAAGGCGTATCAGATATAGCTTTGAATCTTATTTCTGTTTCCAAGCATACTCTTTCTTATATTAAAAAATATTCCAGAAAAAAACTAGTGAAAGTCATGCCAGGTTTAATAAAATGTGAACATTTTCTGCAGAAGCAAAATAAGTCACCAGATACAGAGAAAATCAATTACACATTTGACCTGCATATTCCAAAGCATGAGACACCTTTAGAAGAAGCTATATCAGAACCTATGCAGAAACTTGTTTCATCTCCCAAAATGGAATCAAACAGAACAATGAAAATACAGGAAGATCTACAAAATACAGAAAATTCCCATCTTCAAATTTCAAATGGAGAGGAGTTGCCAACTAGTACACCAAAAATGCAAAAGTGCTTTCCCTTTGAAAAGGAAAATATACAGAAACAAAAGGATTTTTTGGAAATTGTTCTGGAGTCGTCAAATGTCCATTTGCTCATCTCCCTAGGAAACAAAAAGCATAAAAGCAGTGAAGAATTAGAAAGCACAAAACTTCAAGTGAGTACAGAAAGTGTAAATCTGAAGAAAAAATCATTTGTACTTAATATTACAGAATACAGTGACCTAAATGAAAGTGATGAATTAGAAAGCAACACTAGAAGCATTATAAAAAATATGCATCAAGATAAAAGAGTATCTGATGCCACTTATGCTATCATTTCTGAACCACCTGATATGGAAATGGACAGCAAATTCAAAGCCAAGACAGATACATCAGGAATAATAAGGCTTAGCCATTCAGCATCAAACCAAGAGAAATTGCTAGATGAAAAGGAAACATGTGATGCAAAATACATTGAGAAGAGCTCTATTTTTAAAAAGCCACAACAACGTGACAGAGAGAAAGAGAATGAAGTGAAACAAGAGGAACAAGAAGCAATTCCAGAGCTGACAGAAGGTTTCAAGTTCAGCATACATCTAAATCAAAAGCCCAAACATCTCAAATTTGAAATGGAACAGATCAGTTCAGGAAGTAGAAAAACTCCAAATGAAAAGCAAGAGATACAAACAAATACTCTTTCTACACAGACTATCTTGGGACCTAGTCCATGTACCTTGACAGATCCAATTCAAGTTGAGAAGGTGAAGCAAAGCACAGACAGACCTACAGACAGAGAAAGTGCTACAGATCCAAAGAATCCACTTACAAGGACAGAGACCTTGCCAGTTGGTCAACTTTTAATTGAAACAGAGCATGATGTCTCATTTGGTGGACAGCCCAGAAAGAAACTGGATGGTCATATTGTAGAAGAAAAGGAAGACTTAAAAAGAGATTTACCAGAAGTTACCCTGGGAACTTTCAATATCCACATACCTACTGTATCATATTGTAAAAGGCAGAAAATTAAAAAAAAGTCGAGAAGAAAAAGTATGCCCAGTGTCAAATATGTAATTAATAAAGTAAAGAAGCCAGCAATCTCACTGAAACCTTCTGTCCACATATGTGGTACTCCAACCTATACAAAAAGATTGAGAGGCAATTTTGAAATCATAATTACACAGATACTGCAAGATAAAATTGTGTCAGATGTGCTTCTAAGTATTATTTACCCTTGCATCTCTATTTTGCCTAATACTAAAATGCATTGCAGATTAAATGCAGAAAATCAGAGTCATATCAAGCAAATGCAAGAGGAATCTCAAGTTGCAAGGGAAGAAAAGTATTTAGATTCCACTGATGAGGGAAATGAATCCCAAAACACACTAGAAGCTAAATTGCAAGATGAAGAAGCTCTACCAAAAGCAGTTCCTCAGGATAGCTGGAACTGCAGACTTGATGCACATCCAGTGATGGAGAATAAAACAGAGAAAGAAATGCATCAACCAATCCCACTCAAAGGAAGCATTATGGAATCTGTTGACTCCCCCATAATGGATCCATCTCATGTTGAGAATGTGAAGAAAAGCCTATCATCACAAACAGACTTCAAAGGCACTGCAGATTCCGAGATGCTGTCTCCAATATCAGGAAAATCACTGACCGGAGACCCTTTAAACCAAACAAGAGAAAGTGGTGTTCCAAGTGATGGAAATGATACAAGGGAAATGGATACAAGGGAAAATAACTGTTTTGCAGAAAAAAGGGCAGAATTACTAAAAGATTCACCAGCAACTTCCCTAGAGACTTTTAATTGCGACATGCCTAGTTTATCTTGTTCTAAAAGAAAGAAAAACAGAGTAACATTTGCACAAATGACAACTATAATGGGGCCCACATGTATAAATGTGAAGGCAATAAAGCCATCAACCTCACTAATATTCAGTATGACAAACCACGGAAGGGCATTGGAATCAGACTTTCAGACCAAGGTTGAAAAGATAAACCAAGCTGAAGGATTGGCTCCTGAATGTCTAAATACCCTTTACTCTTCCATACATAGCAGATTGCAGAAAGAGTTCTGTAGTGCTCAATTAAAGCAAGGAGAACCAGCACATAAAAAGTATGTTGATTTCTTTGCTAAGAGTAGGGCATTCTATGACAGAGATGAAAACTTGCAAGCTGGAGAAGAAGAAGAACAAAAGGCTACAAAAGAAGCAGCTCCACAGCATAGCCAGCACCTATGGTCTGATGCCTACCAAATGAAGGAGATCCACCTTGACAAATCAGATCCAGCACTGAACTCTTTAACACAAGAGCTACCTGTTAATGGGCAAAATGTGCAGCACTCCGCAGGTTTTACACAAACTAGTTTGGAGGCTAGTTTCAAAATGGATCCTATAGAAGCTGAAGAACTACAGAAAGCCAACAAAACAGAAAATGACATAAAAGTCCCTGTGGGTCCTAAGATTCCACCTCCCAAAGCAGGAAATTCATTACTTGATGAACTTTTGAACACAGTGACAGAGTACGGCTTATCATCTGGTAGAAACCCCAAAAGGAAACTAGATTCTTATTTTGTGGGAAAAAATTCAGAGATACCAACAGATTCACAAGTGACATTCCAGCAATTTTCTGATTCATTTGTTTCTAAATCAGAAAGACAGAAAAAGACATTAAAATTAGCAAGGAGACAAACACTAGCAAGTTGCAGAAGTAGAACCATGAAGAAAATAAAGCTATTGGTTTCCTGTATACTTAATGGCAGGCATAGCATTCAAGGCAATATTAAAATAAAAATGAATGATCCACAGCAAAGGGAATATGTAGCAAATGCATTTTTAGACATCATTCACTCCAAGATGCCTTTGCCTGACATGAAAATGAGAAATTTAAATGTAGAGACAGATATACAGAAGATAACAAGATTTGATCATACGCAGCAAATGCAAGAGGAATCACCAAGTGGAAGAAAAATATGTTGCCCAGATTCTATTGAAATTAGTAGCTTCGCTAACAGTGTGACATATAGAAAGGAGTGGGAAGGGGAACCTGAAGCTTTACAGGCTCTGGAGAATAGCCACAGCTTCACACTCAATGCCTATCAGAAAGATCATGAGCTTGTCAAATCAGATGAGGAACTGAACCAACCAGAAAGTACAAATATTCAAGTACAACCACAAACACATTTTACACAAATGACTTTGGGGTCTACTTCATGCCCTATACTGGACCAATTTCAATTTGAAAAGCTAGAGAGTTGTGTTAGGTTTTCACCTCTAAAGTCTGGGGAAGCAAATGTTGATGAAATTGTATTTTCCACAAGAAAAGGTGGTATCTCATCTGATGCAAGCCATCAAAAGGAACAGGCTGGTGATAGTGAAAATAAAGAGGCAGTGACTTTTGATTTCAACATGCCAGATTTATCTACAACTGAAAGGAAGAGAAACTTCAAACAATTTTCAGACATGAAAAGTTTAGTGAATCTCAAATCTGGAATTATGAAGGCAAAGAAACCATCAATTTCCTACATGCTCAATATCAAGGGTAATGCTAGTCCAAACCATAGAAAAGAATTGAGATATAACTTGACAACCAAAATGAAAGAGGTGCATCAAGGTAAAAAAGTGGCAGATAAAACATACTCTTTCATGACTGTTACACCTGACATTAATATGTACGGCAGTGTAGAAACAGAAAAAGACATGCTGAGAAGAAAAAGAGTCAGTTCTAAACAAGTAAAGCAAGAGATAGCGCCACATGATAACATCAAAGAAACCAATTCTCAAGATGAAGAGGAAGAAGAAAGTGAAGAGGAGGCATTATTAAAAGTAATTCCACAGCATATCCAACATTTTGTATTCTGTTCAGGTCAAAGGAAGGATGTTGACTTTCACAAATCAGAAAGCCAAGGAAGTAGAAAAATTCTGTTTGTTACCGAACAAGATGTCCCACAGCAAATTCAGCCTACAGATTCAATGCAGGGAGAAGAGATGAAGAAAATCCTCCAGACACAAAATGGCACAATATGTACAAGTTCAAAGCTTTCTCCTCTAAAATCAGAGGAATCACTAGTTGATGAAGTTTTAATTAGTACAATTAAATGTGGTATCTCAACTGATGGGAACTGTATGGAAGAACAGCACGGTGGTAGTAGAGAGGAAAAGGCAGAATTTAAAAAAGATCTACAGGCAACTGTCCTGGAGTCTTTGAATCTCTCCACACCGGATCCATTTGCATCTAAAAGGCAGAGAAAAATACTTACACGTAGAATCTTAGAAAATGAAATGAGCCCCCAATGTATAATGAAGAAGGCAATGGTCTCCCCGATGTTTAATATCATAGGAAGTAGTATGTCAGGCCATAAAAGTCAATTAGAATGCAACGTCAAAACCATGATGAAACAAGGTAAACCTGTGGCAGATATATTCTTAAATGCCACTTCTTCTCCCATGCCTGTTTCCCTTGGTGTGAAAGTGCATAACAGAATAAAAGAGACAGACATGCTGTGGGAAACAAAATTTAGTCATGAACAGCAACAACTAGAGAAGTTAGCACATGAAGAGAGGGCCTGGTACACAGATTCCAGTGGTAAGGGTAATACATCAAATGGCACTAAAGATGTCAAAGACCTAAGTGGAGAAGCAGCCCCACTAATTTCCCAAAACTGCAATTTCAATGCTCATAAAACAGAGGAACCTAACTTGGGGAAGTCAGACCTAGAACTCAAGAATTCAGCAAGCAAAAATATCCCAGAAGCACTTACTATAGCTCAAGAGATGCAACAACAAACACTTGCCACACAACGTGTATTAAATTCTATTTCTCATTCTACTTTGAATTCATTTCCATTGGCCAAGTTACCAAAAAGAATAAAAACACAAAAATGCTTAAAAGATACAGGGAGTCCAAAGATTTCATCTTCAATGCCAAGGAAATCCATTAGTGAATTTTTAGTTGTTACAACACAGAGTGATGTCCCCTCAGAAAGAGGCCCTAGAAAAGAACTTGTTAGTTCTTTTCCAGAGGGAGAAATAAGGTTACTAAAGGATTTACAGATGAGAACCCTAGAGTCTTTTGATTTCTCCATGCCTACTTCATCTGAATTTAAATGGCAAAGAAATGCAGCAAACCCCCCTAAGTCTGTAACTGGGAAAGCACAGATACCATCAACTTTTGAAACAATTGATATTACTAGGTGTGGTTCCCTTAGCCATAGAAAGAAACAGGAATTCTCTTTGGGAAACATGGCCAAAGAAATACGTCAAAGTACGTCAAATATATTTATGAATACCTTTTCACATACACCTCTTTCAACTGACATCAAAATGCTTAAAAATGTAAAAGCAGCAAAAAACCCATTAAGAAAAACAAGCAATATCACACAGCTAAAGCAAGATAAAGGGAAAAGATGGTATACATATCCCTTTAATAAATGGAGTATCTCGAGCAACACATTAGAAGCAAGATGGCACTGCGAAGGAGAAAGAGAAGGCAAAGACATTTCATTTGAAGCAGGTCTACAACTCCTGAACAGTACAGGAGGTAGAAAAGATCAACGTTTGCTTATTCCAGAGCAAGAAATACAGCAACAAATACTGGTTTCAGAAAATATATTGGAGTCTATTTGTTCTCCTCTGACTCCGTTTCAAACTAAAAAGCTGAAGAAGATCCTTTTGCCTCAGAAACACACACTACATGACATAGGTGAAAAGATTTTGTGTCCAAGATCAGAGAAAGCAATGTTTGACAACCTTTTAATTGATGAAATAGAGTACAGTACTACATCTGATGGGAACCCCGTGAGGGAGCTGGATGTTCCTGGTACAGTTTCTTTACAACTGGAGGGGGTAGAAGAAAATGTAAATACACAAAAAGTGATAAAATGCACAGCTGATCAAAATATTCCACCTGCCAACTCAGGGAATTCAGTATTTGGAGGTCCACATGATAAGAGCTGTGGACAGAAACCGGGTGGTGATATTGCCAGGAAACATGAAGAGCTGCAAAGAGATTTACTGACGATGAGTGCAATGTCTGCTTTATCTGATTCCATAAGGAAGAAAAGGGTACTCACATTTCCAGAAAAGAAAGATCTTAGGAGTCCCAAATGTGTAGCTACGAAGGCAAAGAAGACTCTTTGTTCACAGATGCTTCCTATCACCCAGCATGTAAATCTACACCACAGGAAGAAACAGGAATGCAATTTAGAATCAACAGTAAAAGACACACAACAAAATAAACATATTGCTAACACATTTTTGTCCCTCATACCAGTTTCAACTGACGTAAAAATAGATAATGAAATGCATAGCAGGTCAAAAGCAGAGATGGATATACCAAGAATAAAAATATGTAATACCCATCTAAAGTTAGAGAAATCACCACATGCTGGGGACGCACAGAAGGCCAATTTGACTGATATGCAAAGCAGACCCAGCAATGCAATGAATATGAACATACTACATGAAAAGGAAGAGAAAGCAATTCCACACTGCAGCCAACACTTCAGGTTCAGTGCATATCAACTGAAAAATCCTGGCCCTTGCAAATCAGAAGAACTGAAGAGTTCAGAAGGCAGAAGGACTTGGGATTTGTCTCAGACAGTGCAAAAAATGAAGCAAGACACATACTTTAGAGAAACTGTTTCAGAGCCTGTTTCTAGACCCATGATGAATTTTCTTCAAGTTGAAACAGTGAAACAAAGTCCTCATATGCAAGAAGGAATAAAATGTATGGTAGGTTTTAAAACTTCATTTCCAAAAGCAGGGAAATCAGAGATTGGCTCAATACCATGTGATACTCCCTGGAATGGAAATCCTGGAAGGAAATGGGATAGTTCTATTTCTGAGGAAAAGGCATGGAATCAAAAGGACTTAATAAGAACTGTCTTACAACCTTTAGATTTCTCCAGCCTTGTGTCATCTGAATCTAAAAGCCAGAGCCATACAGAGTTTGCAGGCAAAAAAAGTACAATGAGTCCCAAGCACGTAAGTTTGAAGGCAAAGCAACTACCAATTTCGCAGTTGCATAATATCACAAGGTATCCTACAGAAGGCCATAGATATAAAAAGCAGCACCATTCTAAGCACAAGATGAAAGAGAGGCAATGGCACACAGGTAAAGGAGGGGAATTACTCAGTGCCACTGAGGATGCTAAAAGTCCACCCAAATCAGTGATTGATAAACTCTCTTCCCATATAACAGCAAGGAGCACTCTATCTAACAGAATATTTCAACAAAGTCTCCATGGTCACATTACAGAAGAAAAGGCAGAGTTACCAGAAAACTTAGCCACAACTTTCTCAGGCCCTTTAGATTTCTTCATGCCTGTCTTCTCTGACTCTGAAAGCCAGATAGATGCAGTACAGTTATCAGAAAGGGGAATTTTATTGAATCCCAAATGTTTAGCTGTGAAGGCAAAGAAGTCACCAATTTCACAGATACTTAAAAGCAATAGACAGTTTACAACAAAAGATAGGAAGAAACTGGAATACAATTTAAAAACGCTGTGTGACAGAATTCTTGAACAATATCGGAATGGTCACATTACAGAGGAAAAGGCAGAGCTACCAGAAAACTTAGCCACAACTGTCTTGGCCCCGTTAGATTTTTTCATGCCTGTTTTATCTGACTCTGAAAGCCAGATAAACACAGTAAAGTTAACAGAAAGGGAAATTGTATTGAATCCCAGGTGTTTAACTGTGAAGGAAAAGAAGTCCCCAGTTTCACAGATACTTAAAATCAATAGACAGTTTACAACAAAAGATAGGAAGAAACTGGAATACAATTTAAAGGCACTATGTGAGAGAATTCTTCAACAAAATATGGATGGTCACATTACAGAGGAAAAGACAAAGCTACCAGAAAGCTTACCCAAAACTTTCTTAGGCCCTTTAGATTTCTTCATGCCTGTTTTATCTGACTCTGAAAGCCAGATAAACACGGTACAGTTAACAGAAAGGGAAATTGTATTGAATCCTAAGTATTTAACTGTGAAGGAAAAGAAGTCACCAGTTTCACAGATACTTAAAATCAATAGACAGTTTACAACAAAAGATAGGAAGAAACTGGATTACAATTTAAAGGCACTATGTAAGAGAATTCTTCAACAAAATATGGATGGTCACATTACAGAGGGAAAGGCAGAGCTACCAGAAAGCTTATCCAAAACTTTCTTAAGCCCTTTAGATTTCTTCATGCCTGTTTTATCTGAATCTAAAAGCCAGATAAACACAGTACAGTTAACAGAAAGGGAAATTATATTGAATCCCAAATGTTTAACTATGAAGGAAAAGAAGTCACCAGTTTCACGGATACTTAAAATTAATAGTCAGTTCACAACAAAAGATAGGAAGAAACTGGAATACAATATAAAAACCAAACTGAAAGCAATGTGGCAAGGTAAAAATGTGGATGATACACTTCCAAATATCATTTACTTCACACAAGATGCTTCTGACATTAAAAGACAAAGCATGGTCCCAACAGAGATAGACATGAAATTATCAGGCTTTAATCATATACAACCAACACAAGTAGAGTCACCAGTTGAAGGGATAGCAAGGTCTTCTGATTGCGTTAACAAGGGAGTAGTTTCCAGCTTTTTAAAGGAAGCAAAACTGCATGATAGAGAGAGTGAGGAAGAGAAGCAAGAACATCTAACAGACACTAGTCAATTCTATTTTAAAAACTTCATGGCAAATAGACACCTCATCAAGGAACCTCATCCTGGCAAATCAGAAGGTGTGCTTTTAGGAGAATCTTTTTTTCCAAAAAGTCATATTTACAAAGGAAATTCAAAACAAAATGTAAAAATAGAAAAAACTGAAAATGAGAAAGCAGGTCTCGAAGTTATACTCCCAAGAATGGAGAAATCAGGTATTTTTGCAGAACTCAATGAGACAATAGGTGATGCTATACCTCAAAAACATAATAAAAAGGAAATTGACCATTATGTTTTAAAAGAAAAAGCTTCATACAATTTGGCAGGAGTTGTCCCAGATTCTGTTGGCAGGGATTTGCCTGCTTCAGAAGAAATTAAAAGACAGAATGGTAGCCTAAAAATATATGACAGATCAAGTCCACCTTTGAAGGCAAAGCAATCAGCAGTTTCACAATCACTTACTACTGCAGGTCATGCTTCTCTAAGCATTAATAAGGAAAAGAAACAGAACTTAAAAGCCCAGAAGAGAGAAGTAGAGAGAGAAGTAGAGAGAAAGAAAGCTATGTTGAATGCAGAGCTAAAATCTATACATGCTTCTATGCCTATTCTACACAATAAAATGGGACAGTCACCTAGTACCTGGGGTATCTATGAAAAACCTTCTGAAAAGAGAAATTCCCTAAACAAAGCAAAAATTAGGGATAAAGAAGAGTATGGACAACAGGTTTTGTTTAGAACATCTTCAGAGTATATTCAGCAATTTGAATTTGGAGCAGATCGAATGAGAAAGCCTGGTCCTTTCAAAGCAGAAGCACCTTTAACGAGTACAGTGTGCCCCAAGAACATCACTCCTCAGAAAACAGAAGCTGATTTAAAAGATCAAGAAACAAAGGTAAATATAGAAGAATTTAGTTCAGAGTCTGTTTTTTTCTCTAAGATACATCTACTTCAAATTGAAAAGCAGAAGAAAGAATTTAACAGTGCATACTGGAAAACAATAGCAAATTTCAAGACTGTTGCCCCACAAAAGAAACAGCAAGAGCCATGTGTCTTAGGAGCTAACTGGAGTTCTCCTTATGCCTACACACCTATTTATCCTAAAATCATAAGACATAAAGATAAGGCAAAAACAGCAGATGTGGAAAGTGCTATGCATACCAAACAGCTAAAAATGAAAGCCAGAAAAACATCAGTTTCCCAGCTTCTTAGATATGGTACTAGAAGAAATAAAAAAGAATGGAGAGGTAACATTCAGCAGCAGAAGGCATTCCGGCTGAGTAAAAATGCAGTAAATCTAGTTTTGGAAGCTATTTATGACTTTGGATGCCTTACATTTGATGTTAAAACGCTTACAGAAATAAAAATGGAGAAAGACAAGCCAAAAGAGAGGATATGCACTCTTCCACATCTAAAGCTGGAGAAACCACTAAATGAAATGCAGATATTGTCAGGATGTATTGATACGTCCAGCATCCTTAGAAAACTGGAACAAAATATTAGAGAAGAACAAAAACACCAAAGCATACCCCAACAATATATTCAGCCATTAAGGATTAGGTCACAACAAATGAAGAAGGTTCATCATGTCAAATTAGATTTGCAGAGAAAGGCATGCTCTGAACCGACTTTACAAACAGGAGAAACTGACTTTGCTGGGCTTGACATCCTGAAAAGCAGAAGAGGAACAGATTCCTATGCTGAAGAGCAAGAGGCCCTGCAACAGAAATCTTTCCCTAAGCGAGGGATGCAGAAACTGGAAACGATTCCTGAGACCAATCTGGAATCTGTTCCTTCTCCCATGAAGGAACCTCTTCATATACAAAATACAAAAGAATTCACAACACAACAAGATTTAAAACTATCGATTCCACAGAGGCAAAAAGCATTGATGGTAGCTAATAGCCCATCAAGTTCAAAAGAACAACGATTACTCACTCCAGGGCTAACGGCACAGCCACAGAAGCCGTTCACAGGGACTATTCTGGAGTCCATTTCTTCCTGTATACTCAATCAACTTCATAACAAAAAGCCAGTGGATGAAGTGAAAATAAAAGGCATAAATCCAAAGGGTTCAGCTCAACAGGTAAAGCAAATCCCAAACAAAACATATATTTCCAATGTGGATGACATGCAAAGAAATACAGAAAGACTACTCTTGCTTATTAAGGAGCAGGAGAAGAGGAGAAAAAAAAATCAAAAGGATAAAAAAATTATTGACACAATTACAGACATGAAAGCAACAGAAAATCCCAATCCGGTTCTAAAATATTCACCAGCTGGAGTACCATTTGTTAATACAATAGAGAATGTTGACATATTTAAGCAAAGAGATAGAAAGGACTTAGACAGGAGCTTGCCCATACAAAGGGGCCAACAAAGGTTTCGTGGTCCAGAGATTATCCTAGGTTCTGTTTATACATATGGGCTTACTTCTACTGAATGTATAAGCCACAAAGATAAAGGAAGAACAGCTTCCATGAAAAGCACTCTGTATCCCAAAAAGGTAAAAATGAAGGCAAAGAAAGCACTTGTTTTCCAGCTGCTTAATATTACAGGATATGGAACCCGAAGCCACAAAAGGGAACTGAAATGTAATATTAAGAAACAGAAGAAGTTCCAGCAAGGTAAAACTGTAGTAGATTTAGTTGTGAATGCTGTCCGTGATTCTGGCTATATTCCACCTCAGATTAAAGAGGTTATAGAAGTAAAACAGGAGAAAGACAAACCAAGTAAGTCGATATACATTCCTCCACAGCTAAAGATGAATAAATCACTAAATAAAAGAAAAATGCCAACTTTGCCAACCATTGATGAGAGTGCTATATTAAGTACTATTAAAACACCAAAACAATATATTAGAGAGCAAAAAGAAAAACACCAAATTGTTTTGCCAGACATTCTCTCACAATATAGTGATCAACAAGTGCAGAAGGAGCCTGACCATATCAAATTTAAAGTAGATTTGGGGAGAAAAGTATATTCTGATCTATCTTCACAGAAGAGAGAAATCAGTTACAGTGGGTTTGACATCCCAAGAATTAGAACAGATATAGGACTGGAATCCCTCATTGTAAAGGAAAGAGATGTAGACATTGACAAACATTCAGTTTCAGTTTCATTGGAGAGAGAAGGATCAAAGAAAATTGACAGTCCACTAAGTTCAGAAAGAGAGGATGTATTTCTTAGAGATCTGGATGCTTCTCAACAGAAGACTTGCCAGGAGCAAGAATCACTGAAACACGAAGGTATTTCCATGAAACATCTGGAGTCTATTGCCTGCCCCATTATGGAACCTCTTCACTTGGAAAACACAGGAAAGGTAGATAAGGAAGGAGATATGTGCATTAGCAGAAAAAATATGTCATATCCATTGGGAAGAGAAGGATTAAAAGAAAATGATATCTTACAAGGTTCCATAGCACAAAAATTTCTTTGTATGAATCTAGAGGTTCAGCACAAAATGCCTACAGTGCAAAAAGAACAAATGAATCCAGATCATGTTCCTGAAAGTATTCCAGATTCTGTATCTTGCCCCAATAGGGACCCTCTTCATTTAAAACAGGCAGCGAATACAAGAAAAGACTATGTTAGCGTCTCTGAAAGTTTCAGTGAAAATCAAAAGGGAAAACAGCAATCAAAGTTAACTGATAATCCATTAAAATCGAATAGACAGAAAATGGATTTTTCAAAAAACTTGAGGATGAAGCAACTAAATATTTGTGACCAAAGTAAAGAAAATATTCTGAAATCTGTTTCCTCTTGCATATTGCATCACCTTCATATTGAAAATCCAAAGAAAGAAGTCTCAGCAAAAGAAATAATGAGTTCAGAAGTTTTAAGCTCAATGGTAGAAAAAGCATCAAACAAAGTAGTTATTCCAGTGGATCAGCCTCCATATTCCTTACTAAGAAGAGGACAAAAATGGCAGTACCTGTCAGTTTCCTATGAGAACCTTCCAGAGAATATTTCTTACTCTCAAAATTATCCCTGTCTCCTGCAACATTTAATGCCTCAGACAAAGGAAGCATTATCAAAAGTAGATAATGTGTCAAGTAAGACAAAAGGACTAGACTTATTTTCTAAAGATCAATTAAGTTCTATATATGGGTATCCACTGGAATGGATTATGCCCTTGGTTACTTCAAGGCAAATGAATAAACAAAATGTAATGCTGCCTTTAGAATCATACAGTAGAAAATATCTGAATCTTTTATTTCCAAAAGGAAAGAAATCATCCGATGAGGCACAGGTAATTGGTTCATTACCAAATTGTAGCCCACCCATGCTAGGAGTTAGAAGGAAGATAGAATCACATTTGAAGAAATCAGTATTTTCACATGTACTCAAAACTACTGACTGTGGTACCCCAAGCAACAGAACAGAAATGCAGTGCAACATAACAGAGAAAATGATAAATACAAACCATAGAATAAGTGAACCAAATTTGGTTATGGCAAAAATGGATGGGTCCATCTGTTCTTTACCACAATTCAAACTGATTAATGAGACAACTAATGGGTTTATCTCAAATAATGTGAAAAGAACAAAACAATATATATCACAGGAAGAAAAGGGTCGAGTAAAAGCAGTGGCTATGAAAGGAATGATGGATTCTAACATTATTTTGAAGGCAAAGAAATCATCACTGTCACATATACTCAATAGAAAGGAATTACCTTTGCTGTTGAACATTATAAAACAAGAGAGCAAGGTGCAAGAAGGCAAAGGTAAATCAGGTATGAAACTGACAAACTTGTGTACTTCCTTACCATCTCTATCACATCCTAATGAGCATTCAAGAATAAATGTAGGGAAAGGTAAATCAGGAATTCTAAGGAGCTGCCTTCCACCGCTAAAGCTCCAGGCATCATCAAATGTCAGAAAAATATCATTTGCAGAGTCAATTAATAGAGATAACTTAAGCAATGTATTAGAATGGAAACATTTGCCACAGAAAAAGAAGGAAAGTATAGAAAATACAGTAGATGTGAAAGATATAATGGGCTTCATATGTATCACTTTGAAAGGAAAGAATTCACCTTTTACACACTTACTGCATAGACGGGAACCACAGTGGACCAATAAAGAACGAGAGAAAATGAAGCAAGAAAATAAAAGTGATAGAGGTGTAGTTCAGAATAATGCTTCCATTCTTTCCTCACCTCACTTGGAATGGGATCGAATAAAAGAGGTATACATGAAAGGAATAACAAAATTCTGTCTTCCATCATTAACACTCCATGAATTATCAGATACAATGGAAAAATATGAGAAGCCAATTGATGATATTTTAAGCAGTATTAAAAGAGCAAAACGCATGCCACCGAAAGACAAAGTGGGAATAGCGCTGGAAGAAATAATGCATTCCAAAAGAATAGCTCTGAAGGAGAAGCAGTCTTCAGTGTTAAAGGAATTACAGTTAAACATCAATGAAAATGAGAAAAAGATACAGAAAGATAAAGATACACTTGTTGAGATTTGGAGTAAATTTGCTTCCCTCTCTTTTTCACCTTACTCTAAAGGAGGCACAGTAAAAGGAGAGGAAACCATGCTAATAAAAACCAGATCCTCTTTTTCACAACCATATCTACAGGTGTCATCAGATATAGAGAAAATAGCGTCTAAAAAGTGTATTACTGATAGTATCTCAGACAGTGTGAGAAAAGCCCTAGAAGACATAATGCAAATGAAAGAGGAGAAAGTAAAAATGGAAAAAGTCATACTTTTGAAGAAAAATAAATCATCAGTTTCACAGGAAATTCAGTTGGAAATAAAAAAACCAGAGAAAAAGATACAAAACATTAAAGGTGAACCAAATGCGCTTCTGACCAATACCAGTACTTCCATACCTTTTCTTTCTCATTTAAAATGGGATACAAGGATAGAAAATGTATATTATATGACCGAAGTAACAAGAGACCCTCCTCTTGAACTATCACACCAGAAATCATCAATAAAAGCACACAGAGAGGCCACTGATAGCATAAGTAGTGTACAAAAACCAAAAGACTATATGCCAGAGAAAGAGGATGGAGTAAAGACGTCAGCCAAGAAAGCCATAATGCATCAAAAAAATGGAGATTTGGAAGGAAAGAAGGCACTTCCTCAGGACCTACCACTGAATCTTAAAGAGACTGGGAAAGCAAATGGAGAAGGCACAGAGCCTGAGAGAGCAGATGAAGAAGGTAAAGTGCCTGGGCAAACAGATGGAGCAGGTGCGGAGCAAGGGAAAACGAATTCTGATATTAAAGGGCACAGGAAAACAGATACAGAAGGAGAGCAACAAGGGGACATGGCTGAAGAAGTTAAAGAGTACGGGAACAAGGACCCAGGGGGTCCAGAGCAAAGGAAAAAGAATAAAAATAAGAATGAACAAGAATTAGTTAGGTTTGTCCATTTACCTTCTCAGCCTTCTGGAACTCATCATGAATTGGACACAAGAATAGAAAGAAAGGAAGACATACAAGGAATATCAACATCTGCTATTCCACAACTATGGAAACAGAAATCATTTGAATTTGATGCAGGGAAAATAGCACATAGGAAATCAATTGGGGAGGATATCTCATATTATGTAAAAACAGTAGGAGAGTACAAGTCACAGAAAGGGGCAGACAGAGGAAAAACAGTAGATATGAACTATAAAATGCCACCCAAAGGCCTGACTTCCAAGGCACAGCAACTGCCACTTGCATATGCATTTGGTATCACTGGGCGTTGTGGCTCAAAAACTAGAGATGGAGAGACAAACCTCAAAGAAAAATTGGGAAATGTACAGGAAAGAAAAAGTGAACTAGATACGGTCCTAAAAGTACCTTCTCTACCTTATCGTAAACTAGACAAAAGTATAGAAGGCAAAAAAGAGAAACAAGAGTCATGGGAAGAAGCATATAGAGGAAAAACAGTAGATATGAACTATAAAATGCCACCCAAAGGCATGACTTCCAAGGCAGAGCAACTACCACTTGCACATGCATTCAGTATCACTGGGTGTGGTGGCTCTAAAACTAGAGATGGAGAGACAAACCGCAGAAAAAAATTGGGAAACGTACAGAAAAGAAAAAGTGAACTACATGCGGTTCTGAAAATACCTTCTATACCTCATCGTAAACTAGGCAAAAGTATAGAAGGCAAAGGAGAGAAACAGGAGTCACAGGAAGGGGCAGATAGAAGAAAAACAGTAGATATGAACTATAAAATGCCACCTGAAGAACCAAGATCCTTTCTTCCACCCACACAGCACATAGAATCATTAGATGCAGGGAAATTAAAATATACAGTGTCACTTTTGAATGATATCTCCAGCAATCCAGAAAGAACAAAATGCATGACACTGATAGAAGGAGATAAAGCAGATGTCTTTAAGAAAAGCATAATGTATCCCGAGGACATAGTTGTGGAAGCAAAGAAATCACCCATTCCTGATATACTCAAAAGAATGAAACTGCAAATGAACATCAAAGAACAAGGGAAAAAAGGACCTCAAGTTAAGGTGAAAACAGTTGTGCCTCTGATCAAAACTTGTTCCTTTGTCACTTCTTCAACTTACCTTAAATTAGACACAACAAAAGAAGAGAAAGAAGAACTAGGAATACTAAGCTATGGATCACATCTTGAGCTCCAGGGATCAGTGCCTTCAGGGCAAATGGCATCTACAGAGTCAACTGCTAGCTGTGTAAAGAAAGGAAAACATCTACCAGGGAAAGAAGACAGAGTACAAACAGTAGCCATGAAAGTTTGCTCAATGCACCCCAGTGGCACTGTTTTCAAGGCAAAGACATCAGGAACTCCACATGTGTTCAGTTTCCCTGAGCACAGCATTCTGAGCAAGAGAAAGGAGCTGCCACAGTGGGACATTAAAGAGAAAGTAGCACAGAAGCAGGAAAGAGCAGAAGATCCTGATGTGGATCTGACAAAAGCTTATCCTTTCATCCCTTCTCAATCTCATCGTAGATCCTTGACTTCACAACTACAGCGTCCTATATCATCAGGTGCAAGGAAAATCAGACGTACAGATTCAAAGGAAGATATTGACTCATATAATGTAACATTAAAAGCAAATCAACATATGCCACACAAAGAGGCAAAGGACAGAGTAAAAATAGAAGACAGGGAAGATAGGATACTCCTCCCAAAAATAGGTTTGAGAGCAGAGACATCCCCATTTGCACATCTGTGCAATAGACAGATACTCCCTTTGAATATTAAAGAGCTAAGGAAAGAAGTACAGGAAGGCAAAAGCGGACTCAGAAAGGTTCCGAGGAAAATTTGTGCTTCTTCACCTTCTTTTCCATCTTACCTGAAGTGTGACACTAGAAAGGATGAAAAGGAAGGTGTTCTGGGAACATCACAATTCTGTTTTCCACCACTAAAGATTCAGGATTCATCAGATTCAGGCAAAAAAGCATATACTGAGTCATTGTATACTTGTATGTTAAGCAACAGAAAAGAACCAATACAATCTATTACACAGGAAGAGGAGAAAGATAGACTGAAAATGGAGAGGAAAGACAAACTGCTTCCTAAACGTATGAATCTGAAGGCAAAGAAATTACTAATGTCACATATACTTGATACCGAAGATTTGAAGTGGAAAATTAAAGAACAAAAGAAAAAGATCCAGGAAGATAAAAATCAACTAGCTGTAAGTCTGACAAACATTAATGTATCTCCTCTTACTCTACCATATCATAAGTTTGATTTGACAGAAGGAGAGGAATGCGTGATAAAAATTACAGAATTGTCTCTCTCACAATTACAGTCCAAGGAATTATCAGATGCAGAGAGAATATCATGTCTAGAAACAACTGGTGGAGCACCTTCAAATGATGTGAAAGAATTAACAAAACAAATGCTACAGAAAGAAGAGAAGAATAGAGAAAAAGTTTCTATGGATATGAATAATATAGTGGATCCTAACAATATATATCCAAAGGCAAATAAATCACCTATTTTACCTACACATAATTTAAGTAACCTTCAGGTGAAAATAAGAGAGCAAGAGGAAAAGGTCCAAAAATTTAAAAGTGGGCCAGGTGTCATACTGACTAAGAGTCCTTCTAGATCTTCCCCACTTCACCTTGACACAAATGCCAAGATCAAGGAAAAAAGCATACCAGTATTCACAGGATCCTCTTCTTTCCTAGCCAACCAGGAATCATCAGATTCTGGGGCAGGCATATATATAAAGCCAGTAACTAGTGATAGTGATATTTTCATCAGTCTACAAAAAGAAAAACATGTGCCACAGGACAAAGAAGAGGATGGAGTACGAGTAACAAAAATCATAATATTCTCCAAACATCAAGAAAAGAAGGAGCAGGAATGTAAAGATGAACCAGGTATGGCTCTAACCAAACCTTCTCCTTCATTACCATCTCTACCTCACCTCATGTTGGATAAAGAAACACAATTAGATGATGTGATGCTAAGACTTTCAAGGTCTCTTTTGCAGACGTTATTACACTCAGGAGAGACGTTACACACACAGCCATTTGGTGGTGATATCACAAATGATGTTAAAAACAAAAAACAACATATGCCTCAGAAAGAAGAGAGAAGAGTAGAAAAAATGGTAGATAGGAGAGGCACAGATGTAACTTTGAAGTCAAAGAAATCACCTCGTTCCTCTATGCTCCATAGATCAGAATTGCACATGAACATTAGAGGGCAAGAGCAAAAGGAACATGGAAGTAAACCACCATGTATGGTTCAACGAAAAATTTATGTTTCCAAACCTTCTCCACCTGATCTTAAACTGGATAAAAGTACACAAGTGGATGGAGAGAAGCTTAGAAGTAAAACATCCACTCTACTTCCACGAATGTTTCCAGAATTCTCAGGTGCAGAAAAAACAGCAGATAGAGCAGTAATGCGTGGTAATGTAAGAAAAGGAAAACCACATATGTTACAGAATGAAGAAAAACATGAAGCAAAAACAGTAGACCTGAAGCTCTGCTTGCCTTGCAAAGAGGCAAGGATCTCCCCAATTTCACAAATCATTAATGCAAAGGAATTTGTGTTGAATATTAATAAGCCAGAGAAAAAAATACAAAAAGGTAAAGGTGAAGCATGTATGGTTTTGACAAGGAGTTTTCTATCCATACCATCAACACCTCCCCTTTATCTGGATTCAGGGAACAAAATAGACGAAGTCATGCCAGGAAGTATAGGATCCTCTTGTCCACAGCAAAATTTCCAGGTATCATCAGACACCCAGAAAATGGCAAATAGAGATTCAGTTGAAGGTGATGATAAAAACATGGTTAAACAAGCAGAACACCATGTGCCTCCCAAAGAGGTAAGGGAACAGTCGTCCTCAAACTTTATGGTCAGCATCCAGCAAAGGAATGAACCTTCCAGAGTCAAATCAGAAGGAGATTTGAATCGGTTGGTTTTAAATTCACAGAATGAGGATATTTATTTCACAGGATTTGGTACCATAAGAAGTGGAAAAAGTCTGGAATGGCTTTTTACTGGGCAAAAGTCACAGCCAGAAAAATGCAAAAGTGAAACTTTTACTGTATGTCTTTCCTATCCCACGATGGATGCAATGAAAATTAGAAATCTGAAGAAAGAACCCGAAATAATGGGTAACTTAAACCATAAAATAAGTACTAAGGTTTCAGTTTCACTGCCAGGGGAAACAGCGAAGGAAATGTATGTCACATTTGGCAGCCCTGTAAGTTCCAAAGAATTTTCTGTTTCAGACAGATATGCCCACCACCAAGACACTTCAGCAGGTGTGTCTCCAGATTCTGAAGATTCGTGTAACTTAGGTAAGCCAGAGAAAGATGTACAAAGTAATGATAACATAAGCAAAATGTTTTCTCCCAAAGGGTTAGCACTACAGACAAAGGAATCACTGGAAAAAATGAATATCACTGAGTGGAGTTCCTCTCAAAATATAGAAGATCAGGATATTGACATGAAAAAGCAAGTGATGCCATGGTCTAAAAGTGCACGCAAGACAAGTCTGACTTCTATCTTTTCTCTTGAGTTTCCACTTCAAAATGGAAAGCAGAAGACACCATCGGAAGTAGATGTGGACGAGAAAACTACAGTGTCCCCCAGCCTACAAATACTAGCAGGAATACATATGGATATTACAGAGTTTGATGCTGCAAGAGGAAAAAATGAGCAGGCATTGCTAGTTTCAGAACAAGAGGAATGTGTTATAGAATCATTTCAGGAGTCCCTTTCCACCCCTTGGACTTTTCCACTTCAGTCAGGAGATCTGGAGGGGAAAGAAGATGACAAAGTAGAAATGCACAAGAACAATACTGTCAGTCTGAAGGAGGAAGTAAGACTGGACACAAGCAGTACTATAAACCTGCATGTCCCATCTCTAAAGGCAGAGGAATCTCAAATTAAGACTCAGGGAATCACTCATATAGAGAACAACTGTCCAATCAAGCAAAAACATAAGAAACTAGAAGCACCTAGTGCAAAACAAAACATTCAACTACAAAAATTGTTTCAAAGAAATAATCTGGATTCATTTTATTCATATACTGCTCTTTCTCCCGAATTTGAAGGCCGGAAAGGCAGATTAACAATAACAGATCTGAAAAGAGAATTGAGCTCCAAATATTCAACTATGAAAATCCCAAGTCACCCAATTGCAAAGATTCTTGGTATCCTAGGATGTGATACTCCAAGCAGTAGAAAGAAATTAGATGAGGTTAACAAATCAAAGAACATGGTTTCATGGAGTAAAGATGAGTCCGGAATATTTATCAGAAGTGTTTCTATTTCCATGATGAGTCCACCTCACACTGAAAAGACAGTAGGATCTGAGACATACCTAGAAAGAGAAAAGAGGCTCTGTTTTTCTAAATTCCAAGAGAAGTTGCTAAACACTAATGAAATTGTTAAGAGAGACACTTTAACAATTATAAAAGGAGGACAGAATTTTACAAACACAGTTCCACAACATTCCCAGCTCTCTGTAGTGGATGGACAACAAATGCAGAAACTTCCTAATGTCAAATCTAAAGCAAGCCTTAGATGTGAAATAAATGAAAAAATTTTAAATCCACAAGCAAAAGAAAGTGTTGTTTCAGGGCATGATGTCTCAAGGATCATGAAAAAACCAGACTTGCATATAATCAAGCAAGAAGAAAACGTACCAAAACGCATTCTGACACCCACAGAGTGTCTGTCTGTGTTTGGAGATCCAAAGCTATGCAAGCAAAGGGATCATGGTAAACCAGTGTATGATGTGACCACACAAAAGCTTCAACAACGAAAAGTGTTTCCGGGAACTGTACCCATGCCACCTCAAGTTAAAAGTAATGAAATCAAAATAGCTGCAGATGGTATAAGTGCAGAACATTTACTTCCTATTTATAAAGCAATTAAAAATGTCTCTGAATCCCAGGTAAAAAATACAATCCAATACAAAGTTTCTTCTGATAAACTGGAAAAAGTACAGGCCTATAAACCTGATGACTTGAAGTCACGACCTTTTCCAGAGGGTCCAGATAGAACAGCAACAACAATATATCCCAAATTACAACAATTTACTCTCAAAGAAAAAGATAAGCTTGCTAATCATTTAGAGTCAAAAGCACTTGAAATAAGACTAAATCAGATACCAGAGATGGCAAAAAAATCCTTACAAAAGTTCAACTTTTATCTAAAAGGGGCTATCTCAGAAGATAACAGTTGGAGGTTCTATCCAAGACATAAAAAAATGAGCTTTATGTCTCAAGCAGGGATCGACACTGTAGTGCTTAACTTAAATCACAAATACCAAAAAGATTCACCTCCTGTCAGCTATATGAAGACACTGATTGGTAATGTTTCGAGTGGCAGCATGGAGATTGTTACAAAGTCGAAGAGTATTAATAAGGTGGAAAGTGGAACATCTTCAGTGGTTTCTGCTAGTGAGACACCATTGTTTCATATTCTCCAAAAGTACTCAGTAAAAGAAAAAGCCAAACTTCTTATGCACTTTTCTATGAAAACATTGGAGATACAAATGAAAGCCTTTCCCAGAACTGTAAGAGGATCTTATGCAATGACCAGTGCTCAGGACAGAACGAAACCTTTATCTAACTGTATTCATTCTGCTATCAAAGTACCTAAACGAAAAAATAGAATTTTGTTACTTTTTGAGGAAAAACTTCTTCATCAAATAGATCTTGATTTACAATACAAATACCTTCGATTTCTCCTGGGGCTTCCTGTTGGAAGTATGTTCCCTAAGCCAAGTGCACTTCCCAAACATATTCTTAAATTAAAGACAATTGCAGTATGTAAAAAAGTAGATGATAGTGGGGAAAGCTATAGTTTTTCCATTGATACAGAACTGTTAGAACAACATATCTCTTTCAAAAAGCAAAGCCCCCATGAAAACTCATCACTCAGAAAATTCCTAGAGCCAACTCACATGCATGCTTTTGACCCTAATCTGCATAGCCCAGCACAGGTAGATACTCGAGTTCTTTCACAGTTAAAGTCCCATGTGACTCCAGAGAAAGATAAACAATATCATGTATGTTTTCAAGAAATAAATGCATATAAATCTTTTGATTTAAGGACTCAGAGAAATGCTACTAGTTTAGTTGATTCACATACAACTCAAATTTCTGAAGATTTTACTGATACTCAGAAAAATGTTAAGAGTCCAGCTAACCTGGAGGAAAGTCCAGCTCTTGAAGTACATGACAGTGAGGAATGTATGTTTTTAGAAGCCAACTCTTATTTAAGTGAGGAGTCACAAAACATTCTTTCTGAAGTACAGAAAGGCATTCCTTTGAAAAATCTCTGCAGAATGAAAGAAACCACGACTGATTTGAAACCATTTTACAGTGAAGATTCGGGTTCCCATCATACTAAAGGCTATAAAAAACATACCTTAATTAAGAGACCACCTTCTTATAAATCCCACAACAGCGGGAAATATAGATCATCCTCCAAAATGAAATCTCCTGACTGGTTGTGTCATAGTTCATTCAATATCGCAGAAATTCAGGCTACCTCATCTACTATATCATTCAGTAAAGAGAAACTTTCAGGGACTACAAGGAACAGAACAAGTTACTCTTTAGCTCCCTTAACTGAGTCAAATATTAAATTACATCTTGCAAAAAACCAAGGCAAGTTTCACATGCACCCAGAAAGCGAAGAAAGAAAGAATGCCAAATTTGATTTATTTAGGAAGAACAACAGTCATTCGGACTATGATTACAGTTGTACACACAGTAAAGAGAAATGCACAAGAAAGAAGAAAGTGTGTGATTATGAGTCAGAAAGATCAGATTATTTCCAAAGCAAACATAAATCAGCATCAAAACCTCATCGCCAGGATATCAACTTTCATTCTGAAGGAAGACAAAACCAGCCATTTTTTTTTGCCTGTATACCAGCGGACTCACTGGAGATTATACCCCAAACCATTCGCTGGACTATTTCTCCCAAAACCTTAAGGAAGAGAAACTTCAGAGTTCCCCTGGTGGCAAAGATTTCAAGTTCTTGGAATATATGGAGTTCGTCCAGAAAGTTGTTGGGATCACTCTCAGGGTCCTTTCCTACAGTTCATCAAAACTGATATTACTTATGTAGAGGCCCCTGAAGTGGAAAGCTGGTCACTATTGTGGTATCCTGTGAAAAATAAAACAATATAATGTCAAATGGTTTCCCCATGAAGTGTTTGCTAAGCTGATCTATTTTCTTTCTGCAGATTTGTGCAATTGTTCTGAGAGGCTAGGATGGAAAAGCAGGGACTTTGGGTTTGCGCGCTCCTTTAGTTTATGTTGCCTTCTCATAATCCTAAGAGAAGCCCGTAGACTCAGGAGCCTTCTTTCCACCCTACACCAATGACTGAAGTAGGAGGACTTGAAGTTATCAATGAGATCAAGACTGTCTAGAGAGTCAGGTGAGCAGGGGCACACAAACTAAAGGGGGAGAGTTTCAGGTGGCAGTGAGGCCACCTGGCATTTGACAAATGGCATTTGACATTGCCATTGAACCAGATTGAATGTCTCTCTTTTTTTAAAAGCACGAAACAAGGTTTATTGAGAAGAGAAACAGAATTATAGAAGATATAGGTTTACAGAGTAAGAGCAAGATACGTTCACCTCAGAACGATAAATGGGCCCCTTGTTGGACCCAAAAGTCAGATTGAATATCTTAATAGACAGAATCATATGATGTACCTCTATGTACCCAATAACCAGACCCCAGACTTTTAGCCCACAGCCAGACCTGCCTTATCCACTTGATCCACTTCTCCACTGTTTATTTTGAAATAAATCCTAGATAGATCATTTAACTTGTAAATATTTTATTATGTGTCTCTATAAGGTAGGAACTATTTTTAACATAACTGTAATACCATTATCATATCTAAAAAATAACAGTAATTTCTTAATATAAAATAGATGATTTCTAGTTATCTTGTGAATGTCATTTTTTTTGTTTTAATTGGGATATAAGGAAAGTCACAGATTGTGCTAGGTCTCTTTTAAATCTCTTTTCATCTATAGGGTTCCCCTTCCATTGCTTTTTTTCTTTACAATTTTTTCAAATTGAGGAAACCTGGTTGTTTGTTCTTTAGTTTCCCACAATTTACATTTTGCTGATAGTGTCCCCACAGCAGGTAGAAATTATTTACATTTGGGTTCCTAATTATTCCTTAAAAGATCTTCAAATAGATGGCACAATGTTGCAGCATTTAAAATAAAATGCATTGCTGGCCGGGCGCTGTGGCTCACGCCTGTAATCCTAGCTCTTGGGAGGCCGAGGCGGGCGGATTGCTCAAGGTCAGGAGTTCAAAACCAGCCTGAGCAAGAGCGAGACCCCGTCTCTACTATAAATAGAAAGAAATTAATTGGCCAACTGATATATATATGTAAAAAAATTAGCCGGGCATGGTGGCGCATGCCTGTAGTCCCAGCTACTCGGGGAGGCTGAGGCAGAAGGATCACTCAAGCCCAGGAGTTTGAGGTTGCTGTGAGCTAGGCTGACGCCACGGCACTCACTCTAGCCTGGACAACAAAGTGAGACTCTGTCTCAAAAAAAAAAAAAAATAAAATAAAATGCATTGCTTCAGAAGATTGCCTGTCACTTCTGGAAATGCATATTAGAGCTGTTAGAAATAGCTCAATTTCTTATCATAAATGATAGGGAAGGATTGAATAACTAGGTCTGGTATTGTGAAGAACAATCTCTAAGACATAAAATGTCTACTTGTCAAAAGAAAAAATATTACAAAAGTTTGAAAACAAAATTAGATATAAAAGGGCTTATTTAGAGTGAGGAATCATCACGTTTCGCTTTTTTGTGAAGCTTATTAAACCAAAAACATAAGTCCAGAAAAATAACACTTTTATTAACTGTTTAATATACTTTTAAAAATATTTTTTGACTGTACACCCTTTGATCACGTCCCCAAAAAGGAATTTTGTAATATAAATTTTGATATAAAGATCAAAAATAATCTAGTCTTCTAGTGGTAGACTGAAATTCGCTATTTATTGTTGACAATTTAGAAAATTCAGGCACTTTTGCTGACTCTGGTAATTTTGCATACCATTTCATCTTGGACCCACCAGACCTCATCAGAACAGGACACATCAGATATGGTAAAGTGCAAGCCAATAAGTTGGGATGCATAAAATGTGTGACTTTCACACACAGATGTCTTTGCTGTTTGTGGTACTGGTATAGGTTTGTATTGTACAAATGGAAAAATTCTGGTGGACTCTATGTCGTATAATACCTATCAAATATAGAATATGCTCTGAGTATATTCTTGTCAGAAGAGAATGTCATTTTTGACCAGATGTTGTAGGGAAAGATATATCAGCTAATGATTCTACACACTTGTTAAATGAAAGCCTTTTCCACAGGTCAGTTTCCTATGCTGCACATTGCAAACCTTTTTTCTCCTCTATTCTGCGTGTTCCTTTGGCGCTGGGAGCTGTGGGAAGCTTTCATGTTGTGTGACAGTCCCTGGCCGTGCACTCCCTCCGGTCCACATCACCATCTGGGATGTGTCCTTCGCAGTGGGTAGGATTTGTGGAAGCTAGTTCTATACTGGGACAGTATAGCAACTACACAACAAAGTGCACATGAATCACAAACATACAGTCCACTAAACCCAATCAAATGCACCTAACTCAGCCTCCCCTCAGCCCAGTCCCCGAAATGTTTGTAGCCTCTCTAATCTCACTGATATAAAGTCAAATGTGATGGAGGGTAAGTCAAAGTGGAAAGAAATAATGTTTTCAACTAATTGCAGTAAAAATATCTTTACAAATCTTTGGGGCCCTGAAGCGCAAACTTCTTCAGCTTTTATAGTATAACTGTTTATGCAAATAACATAATTTATTAATTTCCATGTTTTAGCAACAAACATTTATTCAACATCTACCATATGCCAGGCCTTGTCCTGGGTACTATACCTAACAAAAATTAACAAAGCACAATCTCTTTGCTTTGAGAAAAAAGAGAATCTTTTCTTTTCTTTTTTCTTTTCTCTCTTTTTTTTTTTTTTTTTTTTTTGAGACCCTTTTTTTTTTTTTTTTTTTTTCCCTTTTTTTTTTTTTTTTTTTTGAGACAGAGTCTTACTCTGTTGCCCAGGCTAGAGTGCTGTGGCGTCAGCCTAGCTCACAGCAACCTCAAACTCCTGGGCTCAGCAATTGTTCTGCCTCAGCCTCCTGAGTAGCTGGGACTAGAGGCATGTGCCACCATTCCCGGCTAATTTTTTTTTTCTATATATTTTTAGTTGTCCAGATAATTTCTTTCTACTTTTAGTAGAGATGGGGTCTCGCTTTTGCTCGGGCTGGTCTCCAACTCCTGAGCTCAAATGATCCACCCATCTGGGCCTCCCAGAGTGCTAGGATTATAGGCGTGAGCCACTGCATCTGGCCGAAAGAGAATCTCTTAAAAGGCCTATAACACACGGACACATACACACGTGCATAAACACAGTCTGGTGGCATCTCATTTCCCTAACACACATAAAATGTTACTAGTATCTTTGCTGGTGAAAAAAAAGCAGTCCTGAGGCCACAATTATTTGGCCTAAGCTATCTATCAAGAGTTACCCATTTGAAGTGGATGTTGACAAGAAAGATGAACACCCAAGACAAGTCTGGTGACCCACAGGGTCTGGCTTCTTTTAGAGACACAAAACTCTGGAGGAGCTAAGAGGCACATGTTTCTTGGTTTTAAACACCCAGATTATAACAGATGGTGATGGTATAGACCATAGTCTATAGTAGTAGTATAGTCCGTCATAGCTCCTAACCCAGCTCCCCCTCTACCTTTGTCCCTATTCAGCACAGAAGCCAGGGTGACATTTGAAACTTAAGCCAGATCTCTTTACTATTCCATATCTCCAATGGCTCCTATTTTCACTGAAAGAAAAAAAAAAAAATCAAAGTCTTTACAACAACCTTGAAGGGCTTTCATAATCTGGCTGTCTGCTAACCTAAGTTCATCTTATACCTCTCTTCCTCTGACTCCATGATAACCACAATAGCCTCCTGGCTGTTCCTTGAATACAACACATATTCCTCCACCTAGGGCCTTGGCTGTAGCCATTCCCCTTCCCAGAATGCTTTCTCCCAAATTCTTGTTGAGTTAATTGAATGATAAAAGTGTTAAAACAAGAATATCAACATGACACACATTCTAAAAGCCTTCCATTCTTTCACTAAAATATCCTACATTGGCTTCCAGGGGTTATCTTGAATGCTACACATTTCCAGTTCTCTACCTCATGGTTCTTTGCACTGCCAATTAATAATAACTAGTAGGATTTTTTTGGAAATAATAATTGCCAAGTCTTGGGCCAGGGAAAGCAAGATGGGTCAAGAATGCACAGTTGCTCATGAGCAGTGATTCCTCCAGAAATATTATAGGGTTCTGTAGAGCTGCACACAGAAGTCATCAGGGGAAAGGCTCCTACCCAGGGAACCAGCCTGGCAGTGGCAATTTGAGTGTAAATCCACAATTGCTATGAAAAGGATGAGTGAATGAAAGCAAAAACAAAGCCCTTGAATCTTTGATTATGACAACATGAGTAAAGTAATGTGAAGCGTGCCAAAAGACAGCTCTTAAGGCATACCGGAGTTTGGAATGTCTTCAACATTAAGCAGTGAGCAAGCCAGATTACGATGGTAGTATGGTGAATTAGGGGTATCCTGCAAATTACTTAAATGCCTGTTGCCCCAGTAACCTTCAGCTTTATACAGATTAGTCTGGTTACAAAGAAAAAGCAATTTTTTTCCATCAAAAGGGGGGGTGTCTTCATGCTCCCTACTGCTTCTTCCAGGTGTTTGGCCTCTGTATGAAAATCCTTTTCTGCCATTGACCTCCTCCACAAGCTTTTTATGCTCTCCCATGGACTTGAGCTTTTGAAACAAAATTCAGGAAGTTTTGCAGGTGAATTTTGCTTTTTAGCCCTATCACATACTTCTGTGGCAGCAATAAATTAACCTGGAAACCTCCTTGAATAAAGGAAGCAAAAGGGGAAATTACATGGAAAAGAAGGAAAATCCCAACAATAAATCTCTTCAGATATTATCCATTAGCTGGTTGTGGTGGTGTGCCTGTTATCTCAGCTATTCAGGAGGCTGAGGTGGGAGGAGCACTTGAGCCAGGGAGTTTGGGGCTGCAGTGAG